CTCGTTCTCTCTATCACTCCTCTCTCTCTCTCTCCCCGTCTCTCTCTATCACTCCTCTCTCCCCTCTCTCTCTCTCTCCCCGTCTCTCTCTATCACTCCTCTCTCTCTCCCACTCCCCATCACCCCTCTCTCTCTCTCTCTCTCTCTATCACTCTATCACTCCATCACTCATCTCTCTATCACTCCCCTCTCTCTGTCAGTCCCCTCTCTCTCTGTCACTCCCCTCTCTCGCTATCACTCCTCTCTCTCTCTCTCTCTCTCTCTCTCTCTCTCTCTCTCCCCACTCCCTCTCTCTCTCTATCACTCCCCTCTCTCGCTCCCCTCTCTCTCTGTCACTCCCCTCTCTCTATCACTCCCTCTCTCTATCACTCCCTCTCTCTCTCTCAATTCAATTTAAGGGCTTTATTGTCATGGAAAATGTATGTTAACATTGCCAAAGCAAGTGAAGTAGATAGTAAACATTTACATTTTAGTCATTTAGCAGACACTCTTATCCAGAGCGACTTACAGTTAGTGCATACATTTTTCATACTGGTCCCGCGTGGGAATCGAACCAACAACCCTGACATTGCTAACGTCATGCTCTACCAACTGAGCTACACGGGTAAACAAATGTGAAATAAACAATACAAATTAACAGTAAACATTACACTCAGAGGTTCCAAAAGAATAAATACATTTCAAATGTCATATTATGTATATATACAGTGTTGTAACAATGTGCAAATAGTTAAAGTAGAAATGGGAAAATAAATAAACATAAATATGGGTTGTATTTACAATATTTATTTTTTTATTTAATTTTTTTATTTAACCTTTATTTAACCAGGTAAACCAGTTGAGAACAAGTTCTCATTTACAACTGTGACCTGGCCAAGATAAAGCAAAGCAGTGCGATAAAAACAACAACACAGAGTTGTTGTTGTACTCCCGAGTGGCGTAGTGGTCTAAGGCACTGCATCGCAATGCTAGCTGGGCCACTAGAGATCCTGGTTCGAGTCCAGGCTCTGTCGCAGCTGGCCGCAACCGGGAGACCCATGGGCGGCGCACAATTGGTCCAGTGTCGTCCAAGGTAGGGGAGGGTTTGTTTCCCACGGGGGGCCAGTATGAAATAAATAAATAAATAAATATGCATTCACTAGCTGTAAGTTGCTCTGGATAAGAGCGTCTGCTAAATGACTGAAATGTAAATGTAGAGTTACATATGGGGTAAAACATAAAGTCAAAAATACCACAGAAAAAATATATACAATGGTATTTGTTCTTCACTGGTTGCCCTTTACTTGTGGCAACAGGTCACAGATATAGCTGCTGTGATGGCACACTGTGGTTTTTCACCCAGCAGATAAGGGAGTTTATCCAAATTGGGTTTGTTTTCAAATTCTTTGTGGATCTGAGTAATCTGAGGGAAATATGTGTCTCTAATATGGTCATACATTTGGCAGGAGGTTAGGAAGTGCAGCTCATTTTCCACCTCATTTTGTTGGCAGTGTGCACATAGCCTGTCTTCTCTTGAGAGCCAGGTCTGCCTACGGGGGCCTTTCTCAATAGCAAGGCTATGCTCACTGAGTCTGTACATAGTCAAAGCTTTCCTTAAGTTTGGGTCAGTCACAGTGGTCAGGTATTCTGCCACTGTGTACTCTCTGTTTAGGGCCAAATAGCATTCTAGTTTGCTCTGTTTTTTTGTTAATTCTTTCCAATGTGTCAAGTAATTCTCTTTTTGTTTTCTCATGATTTGGTTGGGTCTAATTGTGATGTTGTCCTGGGGCTCTGTGGGGTCTGTTTGTGTTTGTTAACAGAGCCCCAGGACCAGCTTGGTTAGGGGACTCTTCTCCATCTCTCTGTAGGTGATGGCTTTGTTATGGAAGGTTTGGGAATCGCTTCCTTTTAAGTGGTTATAGAATTTAACAGCTCTTTTCTGGATTTTGATAATTAGCGGGTATCGGCCTAATTCTGCTCTGCATGCATTATTTGCTGTTTTCGTGGTACACAGAGGATATTTTTGCAGAATTCTGAATGCAGAGTCTCAATTTGGTGTTTGTCCCATTTTGTGAATTCTTGGTTGGTGAGCGGACTCCAGACCTCAACCAGAAAGGGCAATGGGGTTCTATAACTGATTCAAGTATTTTTAGCCAGATCCTAATTGGTATGTTAAATTTAAGTTCCTTTTGATGGCATAGAAGGCTATTCTTGCCTTGTCTCTCAGATCGTTCACATCTTTGTGGAAGTTACCTGTGGTGCTAATATTTAGGCCGAGGAATGTAAAGTTTTGTGTGTGCTCTAGGGCAACGGTGTCTAGATGGAATTTGTATTTGTGGTCCTGGCAACTGGACCTTTTTTGGTACACCATTATTTTTGTCTTACTGAGATTTACTGTGGTCTGGCAGAATCTGTGCAGAAGATCTAGGTGCTGCTGTAGGCCCTCCTTGGTTGGTGACAGAATCACCAGATCATCAGCAAACATTAGACATTTTACTTCAGATTCTATTAGGGTGAGGCCGGGTGCTGCTGACTGTTCTAGTGCCCTCGCCAATTCGTTGTTATATATGTTGAAGAGGGTGGGGCTTAAACTGCATCCCTGTCTCACCCCACGGCCCTGTGGAAAGAAATGTGTGTGTTTTTTGCCTATTTTAACCGCACACTTGTTGTTTGTGTACATGGATTTTATAATGTCGTATGTTTTTCCCTCAAACCCACTTTCCATCAATTTGTATAGCAGACCCTCATGCCAAATTGAGTCAAAAGCTTTATCGAAATCAACAAAGCATGAGAAGATTTTAACTTTGTTTTGGTTTGTTTGTTTGTCAATTAGGGTGTGCAGGGTAAATACGTGGTCTGTCATACGGTAATTTGGTAAAAACCAATTTGACATTTGCTAAGTGCATTGTTTTCACTGAGGAAATGAACTAGTCTGCTGTTAATGATAATACAGAGGATTTTCCCAAGGTTGCTGTTGACACATAGTTATTGGGGTCAAATTTGTCTCCACTTTTGTGGATTGGGGAGATCAGTCCAGTGCCAGAGCTAAGGATGATGTTAAAGATTTTAAGTATAGCCAATTGGAATTTGTGGTCTGTATATTTGATCATTTCATTGAGGATACCAACTTTTTGGGTTGGAGGGTTTGTATTTTGTCCTGTAGTTCATTCAATGTAATTGGAGAATCCAGTGGGTTCTGGTAGTCTTTAATAGTTGATTCTAAGATTTGCATTTGATCATGTATATTTTTTTGCTGTTTGTTCTTCGTTATGGGGCCAAAAAGATTGGAGAAGTGGTTTACCCATACATCTCTGTTTTGGATAGATAGCTCTTCGTGTTGTTGTTTGTTTAGTGTTTTCCAATTTTCCCAGAAGTGGTTAGTCTATGGATTCTTCAATTACATTGAGCTGATTTCTGACATGCTGTTCCTTCTTTTTCCGTAGTGTATTTCTGTATTGTTTTAGTGATTCACCATAATGAAGGCATAGGCTCAGGTTTTCTGGGACTCTATGTTTTTGGTTGTATAGGTTTCTCAATTTCTTTTTTAGGTTTTTGCATTCTTCATCAAAACATTTTTCATTGTTATTACTTTTCTTCGGTTTTCTGTTATAATTTTTTAGATTTAATAGGGAAGCTGAGAGGTCAAATATACTGTTCAGGTTTTCTACTGCCAAGTTTACACCTTCACTATTACAGTGAAACGTTTTGTCCAGAAAGTTGTCTAAAGGGGATTGAATTTGTTGTTGCCTAATTGTTTTTTGGCAGGTTTCGACAATACTTTCTTTCAATCTATAGCATTTCTTAATATTATTCAGTTCCTTTGGCTTTGATGCTTCATGATTGAGTATTGCTCTGTTCAAGTAGACTGTGATTTTGCTGTGGTCTGATAGGGATGTTAGTGGGCTGACTGTGAACGCTCTGAGAGACTCTGGGTTGAGGTCAGTGATAAAATAGTCTACAGTACTACTGCCAAGAGATGAGCTATAGGTGTACCGACTATAGGAGTCCCCTCGAAGCCTACCATTGACTATGTACATACCCAGCGTGCGACAGAGCTGCAGGAGTTGTGACCCGTTTTTGTTGGTTATGTTGTCATAGTTGTGCCTAGGGGAGCATATGTGGGAGAGAATGCTGTCACCTCCAGGTAGGTGTTTGTCCCCCTGTGTGCTGAGGGTGTCAGGTTCTTGTCCAGTTCTGGCATTTAGGTCGCCACAGGCTAGTATATGTCCCTAGGTCTGGAAATGATTGATTTTCCCCTCCAGGATGGAGAAGCTGTCTTCATTAAAGTATGGGGATTCTAGTGGGGAGATATAGGTAGCACACAGGAGGACATTTTTCTCTGTTGAGATCATTTCCTTTTGAATTTCTAGCCAAATGTAAAATGTTCCTGTTTTGATTAATTTAGTAGAGTGAGTTAGGTCTGCTCTATACCAAATTAACATACCCCATGAGCCCCTTCCCTGTTTCACACCTGGTAGTTTGGTGGATGGGACTACCAGCTGTCTGTAACCTAGAGGGCAACCAGTGGGTCCGTCTCCTCTATACCATGTCTCTTGTAGGATGAAAATGTCTGTATTTCTTTGGTGAAGTCCAGGTTCCTCTCTCTCTTTCTCTCTCTCTCTCTCTCTCTCTCTCTCTCTCTCTCTCTCTCTCGCTCTCTCTCTGTCACTCCCCTCTCTCTGTCACTCCCCCTCCTCTCTCGCTCTCTCTCTCTCTCGACCTGTTGCTGTAGTGTGTTGTTGTTGCTCCTGGCAGTTCTAAGGATGTATTTAATTTTTACATTTACATTTGAGTAATTTAGCAGACACTCTTATCCAGAGGGATTTACATTAGTGCATTAATCTTAAAATAGCTAGTTGGGACAACAACATATCACAGCCGTAGCGAGTACATTTTCCCTCAACAAAGTAGTTATCAGCAAAGTCAGTGCCAGTAGGAATAGACAACTGCATTTTTTTCTGTGTGTGTGTGGGGGGGGGGGTTGGTTCTTGAAATAGCAAATGGCAGTAGGGGGAGGCAAGATGGATGAGAATGGAGAGAGAGCAGAGAAAGAGGAGAAGAGGTGCGGCCATATGGAGAAAGTATGTGTTACCTAAAGCATCCTGCTGGGCCTCTCAGATGCCAAGTGTGTCCCTAAAGACATCCTCTGGTATCACCCTCTCCTCTCCCTGTCCATCTCTCAGATGCCAAGTGTGTCCCTAAAGACATCCTCTGTGGTAACCCTCTCCTCTCTCTGTCCATCTCTGGTCCACTTACTACCTCTGGCCAGGTCTGGAGAAAAACAACGTTTCGTATGACAGGTTGGTCCAGTTTCTCAGAACTGCTGGCTGCTTTGGAGCTGTGAACTCCCAGTCATCTAAACTCCCAGTAGTCTGCAGCAGCTACTGACTCTGTGTGAGGAGAGAGTGTGATCTCTGGATGGTCTGAGCGCTCTGCTCATTACTGTAAAGATTTCGCAGATGTGAGGTACAGAGCTAGCTAGTGAGTGCTAGCCCATTGTAAGGCGTCACCTTCCCTGAGACCTGAAGTGGTGTTGTCCTAGTGTTAGTGTTGGTGAGCATGCTAGCTTCTGTTTGTGTTTCTCTGATCGTTAGTGTCTCCTCACCTCAGTGCAGCCAAAGATGGTCTACTGATAAGATACCGGAGTCTCCAATCGAACAATGGGAATCAATGCCCGCTAAGGCGGAAGGCAGGCGGGATCAGGCGGGAACATTCTAGCCAATGAGAAGGCAGACACACTTCTGTACAACAGGCACAACAGGCATCCACTTATATCAGTACATTCGTGACAACTTAAACATTACAAAACGTATATTATATCAAATAAGCCACACGTAGAAAATTAGCAATTACATTTTATGTTGACCAAAATCAACACTCTCTCATTAATCTCCATACAAAAAAATCTCTGCTTCCAATGCTTTACGCTTTATTTTCAAGCAGACAGATTTTGGGGTGGGGTGGCGAGAGCTCCCTCAGTCATGGAGGGTATTTGCTCCATTGTTTACGCTTTTGTTGTTGGCTTGATCTGATTCATTCTAATGGTGTGTACAGTGCCTTGCAAAAGTATTCACCCCCCTTGGCGTTTTTCCTATTTTGTTGCATTACAACCTGTAATTTAAATTGATTTTATGTAATGGACATACACAAAATAGTCAAAATTGGTGAAGTGAAATTAAAAAAATAACTTGTTTCAAAGAATTCTAACAAATAAATAACGGAAAAGTGGTGCGTGCATATGTATTCACCCTCTTTGCTATGAAGCCCCTAAACCAATTACCTTCAGAAGTCACATAATTAGTTAAATAAAGAAGAAGATGAAGACCAAGGAGCTCTCCAAACAGGTCAGGGACAAAGTTGTGGAGAAGTACAGATCAGGGTTGGGTTATAAGAAAATATCAGAAACTTTGAACATCCCACGGAGCACCATTAAATCCATTATTAAAAAATTGAAAGAATATGGCACCACAACAAACCTGCCAAGAGAGGGCCGCCCACCAAAACTCACGGACCAGGCAAGGAGGGCATTAATCAGAGAGGCAACAAAGAGACCAAAGATAACCCTGAAGGAGCTGCAAAGCGCCACAGCGGAGATTGGAGTATCTGTCCATAGGACCACTTTAAGCAGTACCCTCCACAGAGCTGGGCTTTACGGAAGAGTGACCAGAAAAAAGCCATTGCTTAAAGAAAAGAATAAGCAAACAAGTTTGTTATTCGCCAAAAGCCATGTGGGAGACTCCCCAAACATATGGAAGAAGGTACTCTGGTCAGATTAGACTAAAATTTAGCTTTTTGGCTATCATGGAAAACGCTGGCGTAAACCCAACACCTCTCATCACCCCGAGAACACCATCCCCACAGTGAAGCATGGTGGTGGCAGAATCATGCTGTGGGATGTTTTTCATCGGCAGGGACTGGGAAACTGGTCAGAATTGAAGGAATGATGGATGGCGCTAAATACAGGGAAATTCTTGAGGGAAACCTGTTTCAGTCTTCCAGAGACTTGAGACTGGGACGGAGGTTCACCTTCCAGCAGGACAATGACCCTAAGCATACTGCTAAAGCAACACTCGAGTGGTTTAAGGGGAAACATTTAAAAGTCTTGGAATGGCCTAGTCAAAGCCCAGACCTCAATCCAATTGAGAATCTGTGGTATGACTTAAAGGTTGCTGTACACCAGCGGAACCCATCCAACTTGAAGGAACTGGAGCAGTTTTGCCTTGAAGAATGGGCAAAAATCCCAGTGGCTAGATGTGCCAAGCTTATAGAGACATACCCCAAGAGACTTGCAGCTGTAATTGCTGCAAAAGGTGGCTCTACAAAGTATTGACTTTGGGGGGGGGGGGGGGGGGGGTGAATAGTTATGCACGGTCAAGTTTTCTGTTTTTTTGTCTTATTTCTTGTTTGTTTCACCCCCCAAAATGTTTTGCATCTACAAAGTGCTAGGCATGTTGTGTGAATCAACTGATACAAACCCCCCAAAAATCTATTTTAATTCCAGGTTGTAAGGCAACAAAATAGAAAAAATGCCAAGGGGCGTGAATACTTTCGCAAGCCACTGTACATCTTACAGAGAATGTATTAAACATATCTGTTCTGGGTGCGAGAGTTTTGCCACCTAGTTGGCGGCAGTAGGGGAGGGTGGTAGTTGGGGGCAGTAGGGAAGGGGGGTAGTTGGGGGCAGTAGGGGAGGGGGGTAGTTGGGGGGCAGTAGGGGAGGGGGGTAGTTTGGGGGCAGTAGGGGAGGGGGGGTAGTTGGGGGCAGTAGGGGAGGGGGGTAGTTGGGGGCAGTAGGGGAGGGGGAGTTGGGGGCAGTAGGGGAGGGGGGTAGTTGGGGGCAGTAGGGGAGGGGGGTAGTTGGGGGCAGTAGGGGAGGGGGGTAGTTGGGGACAGTAGGGAGGGGGGGGTAGTTGGGGGCCAGTAGGGAGGGGGGGGTTAGTTGGGGGCAGTAGGGGAGGGGGGGTAGTTGGGGGGCAGTAGGGGAGGGGGGTAGTTGGGGGCAGTAGGGGAGGGGGTAGTTGGGGCAGTAGGGAGGGGGTAGTTGGGGGCAGTAGGGAGGGGGGGGGTAGTTGGGGGCAGTAGGGGAGGGGGGTTAGTTGGGGACAGTAGGGAGGGGGGGTAGTTGGGGGCAGTAGGGGAGGGGGGGTAGTTGGGTACAGTATGGGAGGGGGGTAGTTGGGGGCAGTAGGGGAGAGGGGTAGTTAATAATAATAATAAATAATAATATGCCATTTAGCAGACGCTTTTATCCAAAGCGACTTACAGTCATGCGTGCATACATTTTTACCAGCTGAGCTACAGAGGACCACCTAGTTGGCGGCAGTAGGGGAGGGTGGTAGTTGGGGACAGTAGGGAGGGGGGTAGTTGGGGGCAGTAGGGGAGGGGGTAGTTGGGGACAGTAGGGAGGGGGGGTAGTTGGGGGCAGTAGGGAGGGGCGTAGTTGGGGGCAGTAGGGGAGGGGGTAGTTTGGGGACAGTAGGGAGGGGGGGTAGTTGGGGGCAGTAGGGGAGGGGGGTAGTTGGGGGCAGTAGGGGAGGGGGTAGTTGGGGGCAGTAGGGGAGGGGGGTAGTTGGGGACAGTAGGGAGGGGGGTAGTTGGGGGCAGTAGGGGAGGGGGTAGTTGGGGCAGTAGGGGAGGGGGTAGTTGGGGCAGTAGGGGAGGGGGTAGTTGGGGCAGTAGGGGAGGGGGCCTCGTACCCCAGTTCCAGCCCCAGCCCCATACCCCAGTCCCATTCCCTACTCTCAGTATGAGCTGAATCAGGAGGAAGTGGTACTCCCGACGCAAGCAGCGTGACGTCCTTTACACTAACAACTATCTTTACTCAGTAGTCTATAATGCTCATTAGGTGTTTGTATCAAAGCTTTTCTCTGTTTTTTTAATGAATAACTTAGTTCACATGAGCAATTTCTGCCTCAAGATGTTGTTGTATAACGACCTGGTCTTGGCACTTCAAAGTTGGGTTTGAAAACGGTGCTCATTTGAATTATCTTCAAACAAACTAAAACAGTTTGGGATAAAAGTTGTTTTTCTTTTTAGTTGTTTTTAGAGGAGTCAGCGGTAGACATTTTCTGTATCGGTCAGCATCAGTCCACTTCGACCACTCATCTGACTCCTGTTGTTGTGATTGGTGTGTTAGAAAGCGATGTTTATTTTGTTGAGTGAGCTTCTCACTGTGTATCCTATGGAGTGTGACAGTATAGTTCCATTAAAAATATTGACCTGTCACTATTCTGTATGCGTGTTAATCAATGTTGATCCATCCTGGTGTGTCCTAGTTTGTTCACTCCAGCCGATTATCAATTAGACAGTAGTTTATCTGATTGGACGACAGACACTAGGAGTACGAACAAATATGAAAATGTATGCACTCACTAACTGTAAATCGCTCTGGATAAGAGTGTCTGCTAAATGACGTAAACGTAAAACGTATATGTACCTTAGATTATCACACTCTGAATATCTACCTCATAGAATACCTGAAATATACAAGGACTACCGCATTTTGAATACGGTAGATAGTCACAGCACTATGAAGGATGAAATGAAAACCTAAAGTGGGTCCCCATGTCAAGAGTAAAAAGACAGATTATATCCATGAGCTCGCCTTGACTGACAACTCTTTGAAACTCAAGTAACTTGGATACAGTGTTGCATAAAGCTAATCTCAAGCTAATTTGGTGATACACAAAGCAACTCAAACATTGACATTGTATTTAAAAAAATGTTTGTATGCATCTTCCGCTTGACATATCTCTTGTAGTGTGGTTCACAGCAGCACTGACAGATGTGTTGACTTGAAGGACCCTTCCCCCCATTTTGTTCCATGCTGGCTGAAGACCCAGCTAGCCAGTAGTGTTGAGCAATTTACTAAAATGTTGGTTATTTTTAGTTTTTTAAACCCACTTACATTTAACCCACTTGAATTACATTTAATTCGTGTTTTTTTCTGTGGGCCCAATGCGCAAATTGCACATCGTTTCTCTAGAGAGAAATCAGATCCAGCCTGAACTGTGCGATGCCAACTGAACAAAAATATAAACGCAACATGTAAAGTGAAATGTTCCATATGCACAAAAAGCTTATTTCGTTCAGATCACTTCCCTGTTAGTGAGCATTTCTCCTTTGCGAAGATAATCCATCCACCTGACAGGTGTGGCATATCAAGAAGCATGATCATCACACAGGTACACCTTGTGCTGGGGACAATAAAAGGCCACTCTAAAATGTGCAGTTTTGTCACACAACACAATGCTACAGATGTCTCAAGTTTTGAGGGAGCCTGCAATTGGCATGCTGACTGCAGGAATGTCCACCAGAGCTGTTGCCAAAGAATTGAATGTTCATTCACCTGCGGGATCATCTGAGACCAGCCACCTGGATAGCTGATGGAACTGAGAAGTATTTCTGTCTTTAATAAAACCCTTTTGTGGAGAAAAACGTATTCTGATTGGCTGGGTCTGGCTCCCCAGTGGGTGGACCTATCCCCTCCCAGGCCCACCCATGGCTGCGCCCTTGGCCAGTCATCTGAAATCCATAGATTAGGGCCTAATGACATTATTTCAATTGACTGATTTTCTTATAGGAACTGTAACTCAGTAAAATCTTTGAAATTGTTGCATGTTGTGTTTATATTTTTGTTCAATATAGTAGGGAGTTGTAGTTTCCAACAGGCCAATATTCTACATTGTTTAGCATATAAAATGTGGTAATTACCTACGATGACCGTCATCCATTGCGAATCTACTTGTCCGGTCTGTTTCTTTTATGCCTTCTACAGAAGAGAGAAGAATGCGTGATCGTGAGGTCATACAGAGAGCAACTGTTGCTTCGCGAGGTACCTCCACCTGAAAATACATTATCTAAGTGATTGATAGTTGGTATTCAGCAGTCATAAAAGCCTTATGTACTTTGAAAAAGTCAGACAGCGGCTTTATAGAGATGAAATAAAATAAAACAAATGTAATATACACAACAACTGAAATATTTTTATTAAAGTGAATTAATGTGAATAAATGATGTTAAACAAGTGATAAGCAGTAATGGGCAGTCACTACCATCGTGGGACTTTATTAATTGTTTTATTCTGTGTTGTTACAGCACTCAACCCACATAATGCATAGTGCGAACCGACCTCAAAAAGCACTAATCACTCAGCACTACTAACCTGTAACTAGCTAACACCAGACACAGATGAAGACCAAGCTAGCCAGTAACTAGCTAACACCAGACACAGATGAAGACCTAGCTAGCCTGTAACTAGCTAACACCAGACACAGATGAAGACCAAGCTAGCCTGTAACTAGCTAACACCAGTCACAGATGAAGACCTAGCTAGCCAGTAACTAGCTAACACCAGACACAGATGAAGACCAAGCTAGCCAGTAACTAGCTAACACCAGACACAGATGAAGACCTAGCTAGCCTGTAACTAGCTAACACCAGACACAGATGAAGACCAAGCTAGCCTGTAACTAGCTAACACCAGTCACAGATGAAGACCTAGCTAGTATTAGGGATTTATTATTCTCCTAAACTAATGGGATGACTAACTTAGAAAGAATGCATTCTTGACTGGGCTAATGTAGGCTGTGACACCTGGCAAGGCTGTGATTGATGTGAAGAGAAGATAAGGATTGTGTCTTCAAATACAAGACTATAATGGTTCATTGTGATTTATGAGTCTTCCTTTGACATGGGAATGATGTCTAAGGGAGCTGGCTCTTCTCACTATGATAGGTTGTTATGATAATCTTGTGCCTGCCTGAAGTGTGTAACAAATGGCGCCGAAGAGATGAGACCAACCCCCTGCATCAACGGATTGGCTGGGAGAGTTTGAACCACGCTCAAGTCTTTACTCTAATTGGCCAGCAGAGAAGTGGGAAACTTCCTCTGTCAGAGTATTTGGGTATTGTTTTCTGGAACAATTAGTTAGTTCTCTGGAGTGTCCTGCGAGGCATATCAGAGAGCCCGTATATACGAAACATCATATTTACCATTTAAGGTTTTTGCATTAATTAAAATAACTAGTATACCTCAGAAGTCGTGTTGACCTCTTTTGTTCCTAATACCAGATTTGAATTGACGCGACTTTGACACTAGCCAGTAACTAGCTAACACCAGACACAGATGAAGACCAAGCTAGCCTATAACTAGCTAACACCCGACACAGATGAAGACCAAGCTAGCCAGTAACTAGCTAACACCAGACACAGATGAAGACCAAGCTAGCCAGTAACTAGTTAACACCCGACACAGATGAAGACCAAGCTAGCCAGTAACTAGCTAACACCAGACACAGATGAAGACCTAGCTAGCCAGTTACTAGCTAACACCAGACACAGATGAAGACCTAGCTAGCCAGTAACTAGCTAACACCAGACACAGATGAAGACCTAGCTAGCCAGTTACTAGCTAATACCAGACACAGATGAAAGGGAAAACATATAAGTATCTTTGCCATAGATAAAGAGGGTAAACTTTTAGTTATATTTGCTGACACCCTACAGTCAAATAGTAGCTATCTAGCTATATAAACCACGCCCCTCTGCAAACACGCCTTTGCCGATGTTGGTTACGAGGTGGTACTTATTTAAATTAGGTAAGAGAATATCATGTTACCATTGGTGTATTAAAACGAGAAGGTGATGTCACCTTGTCCCCTTAATAATGAATCCAAGTGTTTGACATGAGGGAGGGGACCAGTAACTTTATGATAAAAATGTATGTAGAAGCAACAGTCATTTTTCAAACTTTGGGCATCATACTTTGATCTGGTTTCCTTCAAATATCATCAAATTTCAGGAAGAACATAATTTCACCTCTTCCTGACCTTTAAACACTACTTTAGGGTGTAAAGCCATATTTTGCATATTTCGCAGCATGCCTTTCGAGAGAATGTGAGCGACACCCACCCATGGTAAAGCATTTATGGTCAACCATTACATATTATACATTAGGTCAGTGTTTCCCAAACTTGGTCCTGGGGCCCCCAACACAGTCATGTTTTGGTTTTTGCCCTAGCACTACACAGCTGATTCAAATGATCAACTAATCATCAAGCTTTGATTATTTGAACAGCTGTGTAGTACCAGGGCAGGGTTCCCCAACTGGCGGCCCGCAGGCCGAATTTGGCCTGCAGCTCCAAGTGATTTTTATTTGGGAAATCTGTTCTCAAGTATTTCCACCCATAATAGAGAGACATGATCATATACAAATGTAAGCAAGGTTTGAAATTATTATGTTTTAGTCAAATATTATATCTGTTGCGGTCAATTTGCAGTCTACAAATTATTTGTAATTATGTTCTGGCCCCCGACCATCTGCTCAAGAAAAAATCTGCCCGCGGCTGAATCTAGTTGATGATCCCTGTACTAGGGCAAAAACCAAAACGTGCACCCCTTGGGGTCCCCAGGGCCGAGTTTGGGAAATGCTGGATTAGTAATTCCGGGACTGGAAACCATGGCTTGGTGCTGGGTCTGCTGTTGTGACTGGGGACCGGGAACTGGGAAACTGGGGCTGCTGCAGATTCTGGGTCAGGATCTGGGTCTGTAGAGGGGAGGAAAGACAACCTGAGGACCAATCAGACAAACAAGTTAACCCTAGACCCAGAGGTCAATGGTAGTACTACCCTGTGGTCTGCTCGCTCCGGGTGAAGGTCTGGTCTGTCCCCTCCTCCGTTCCTCGTCTGGTGCTGGGACTGGTACTGGCTCTGCAGAGGGGAGTGAGGACAACGTGAGGAGTGAGCAGAAACACCTGGAAGCCCAAGACCAGGAGGTCAGTGATGGTACTCCCCTGTGACCTGCTCACTCCAGGCACGTTGTCTAGGTCTTTGGTCCTTCCTCCGCGCCTATTCTGGCCTGGGCTGGTGCTGGAGGAGGAGCGATGCAGCGGCAAGGCTGGATGCTGGAGGAGGAGCAATGCAGCAGCAAGGCTGGATGCTGGAGGTCAGAGGGAACAAACAGGCCCAGACCCACCTGACCATGGAGCACTCACAAATAGTTGGAAGGTGTGATCCGTGGGGGCAGTTCTCTGTACGTACCTTGTGCCGTCTATGGATGGATTCCCTAGTGGGGAAGCAACCATGAACAGCCAGAGTGTGTCTTTCTGTTCTGAGTGTATTGTCAGTGTCATGGTGATGGGTTATTGGTGGGCTTCAGGTCCAGGTTTGATCATTTTGTTGCAGAGGTGGATGAGGGTCTCAAGCGTTTTTTTTGGGGGTAGTTCTTGGCTGTTCACAGGTCTTGGCGTGCCTCTCCACTTCCTGCCTTGTGGCCCCCTGCACTGAATTGATGATAGAATGGGGAGTGCTGGGAGGGGTGAAGGTGGATTGTAGGGTCCAGGGGGTTCTGAACTGAGGCTGGCTGGCTTGATGCTGTGCCGGATCAGCGGCAGGAAGGGCTAAGGGGGGTGGATCTGGGTCACTAAGGAGCAGGGGGGAGGAGTCAGGGGCAGCAGGGGACCAGAAATGTCCTCTGGTCTGAAGAAACAAAAATAGAACTGTTTGGCCATAATGACCATCGTTATGTTTGGAGGAAAAAGGGGGACACTCGCAAGCTGAAGAACACCATCCCAACCGTGAAGCACGGGGGTGGCAGCATCATGCTGTGGGGGTGCTTTGCTGCAGGAGGGACTGGTGCACTTCACAAAATAGATGGCATCATGAGGAAGGAAAATTATGTGGATATATTGAAGCAACATCTCAAGACATCAGTCAGGAAGTTAAAGCTTGGTCGCAAATAGGCCTTCCAAATGGACAATGACCCCAAGCATACTTCCAACGTTGTGAGAAAATGGCTTAAGGACAACAAAGTCAAGGTATTGGAGTGGCCATCAATAAGCCCTGACCTCAATCCTATAGAATATTTGTGGGCAGAACTAAAAAAGTGTGTGCGAGCAAGGAGGCCTACAAACCTGACTCAGTTACACCAGCTCTGTCAGGAGGAATGGGCCAAAATTCACCCAACTTATTGTGGGAAGCTTGTGGAAGGCTACCCGAAACGTTTGACCCAAGTTAAACAATGTAATGGCAATGCTACCAAATACTAATTGAGTGTATGTAAACTTCTGACCCACTGGGAATGTGATTAAATAAATAAAAGCTGAAATAAATCATTCTCTCTACTATTATTCTGACATTTCACATTCTTAAAATAGTGGTGATCCTAACTGACCTAAGACAGGGAATTTTTACAAGGATTAAATGTCAGGAATTGTGAAAAACTGAGTTTAAATGTATTTGGCTTATGTGTATGTAAACTTCCGACTTCAACTGTACGTGGACACCCCTTCAAATTAGTGGTTTCGGCTATTTCCCCCACACCCGTTGCTGACAGGTGTATAAAATCGAGCACACAGCCATGCAATCTCCATAGACAAACATTGGCAGTAGAATGGCCTTACTGAAGAGCTCAGTGACTTTCAACGTGGCACCGTCATAGGATGCAACCTTTCCAACAAGTCAGTTCATCAAATTTCTGCCCTGCTAGAACTGCCCCGGTCAACTGTAAGTGCTGTTATTGTGAAGTGGAAACATCTAGGAGCAACAACGGCTCAGCCACGAAGTGGTAGGTCACACAACCTCACAGAACAGGACTGCATAGTGCTGAAGCGCGTAGCTCGTAAAAACACTTGCTACCGAGTTCCAAACTGCCTCTGGAAGCAACATCAGCACAATAACTATTCGTCAGGAGGTTCATGAAATGGCTTTCCATGGCCGAGCAGCCGCACACAAGCCTAAGATCACCCTGCTCAATGCCAATCATCGGCTGGTTTGGTGGATGCCAGGAAAATGCTACGTGTCCAAATGCATAGTGCCAACTGTTAAGTTTGGTAGAGGAGGAATAATGGTCTGGGGCTGTTTTTCATGGTTCTGGATAGGCCCCTTAGTTCCAGTGAAGGGAAATATTAATGCTACAGCATACAATTACATTCTAGACGATCCTGTGCTTCCAACTTTGTGGCAACAGTTTGGGGTAGAGCCTTTCCTGTTTCTTCATGACAATGCCCCCGTGCACAAAGCGAGGTCCATACAGAAATGGTTTGTCGAGATCGGCGTGGAAGAACTTGACTGGCCTGCACAGGGCCCTGACCTCAACACCTTTGGGATGAATTTGAACGCCAACTGCGAGCCAGGCCTAATCGCCCAACATCAATGCCCGACCTCACTAATGCTCTTGTGGCTGAATGGAAGCAAGTCCCCACAGCAATGTTCCAACATTTAGTGGAAAGCCTTCCCAGAAGAGTGGAGGCTGTTATAGCAGCAAAGGGGGGACCAACTCCAAACTAATGCCCATGATTTTGGAATGAGATGTTCGACGAGCATGTGTCCACATACTTTTGGTAATGTAGTCTATATTAGTATTATATATGTTTCATGAATCTTTTTTTTTTTAAAGTGTGTGTTTTTGTGTAGATCGTTGACAAAAAATGACAACTGAATCAATTTTAATCCCACTTTGTAACACGTGAAGAAATCCAAGGGGGTGTACAGTGAGGGAAAAAAGTATTTGATCCCCTGCTGATTTTGTACGTTTGCCCACTGACAAAGACATGGTCAGTCTATAATTTTAATGGTAGATTTATTTGAACAGTGAGAGACAGAATAACAACAACACAAAATCCAGAAAAACACATGTCAAAAATGTTATGAATTGATTTTCATTTTAATGAGGGAAATAAGTATTTGACCCCCTCTCAATCAGAAAGATTTCTGGCTCCCAGGTGTCTTTTATACAGGTAACGAGCTGAGATTAGGAGCACACTCTTAAAGGGAGTGCTCCTAATCTAAATATGTTACCTGTATAAAATACACCTGTCCACAGAAGCAATCAATCAATCAGATTCCAAACTCTCCACCATGGCCAAGACCAAAGAGCTCTCCAAGGATGTCAGGGACAAGATTGTAGACCTACACAAGGCTGGAATGGGCTACAAGACCATCGCCAAGCAGCTTGGTGAGAAGGTGACAACAGTTGGTGCGATTATTCGCAAATGGAAGAAACACAAAATAACTGTCAATCTCCCTCGGCCTGGGGCTCCATGCAAGATCTCACCTCGTGGAGTTGCAATTATCATGAGAACGGTGAGGAATCAGCCCAGAACTACACGGGAGGATCTTGTCAATGATCTCAAGGCAGCTGGGACCATAGTCACCAAGAAAACAATTGGTAACACACTACGCAGTGAAGGACTGATATCCTGCAGCGCCCGCAAGGTCCCCCTGCTCAAGAAAGCACATATACATGCCCGTCTGAAGTTTGCCAATGAACATCTGAATGATTCAGAGGAGAACTGGGTGAAAGTGTTGTGGTCAGATGAGACCAAAATTGAGCTCTTTGGCATCAACTCAACTCGCCGTGTTTGGAGGAGGAGGAATGCTGTCTATGACCCCAAGAACACCATCCCCACCGTCAAACATGGAGGTGGAAACATTATGCTTTGGGGGTGTTTTTCTGCTAAGGGGACAGGACAACTTCACTGCATCAAAGCTGATGATGGACGGGGCCATGTACCGTCAAATCTTGGGTGAGATCCTCCTTCCCTCAGCCAGGGCATTGAAAATGGGTCGTGGATGGGTATTCCAGCATGACAATGACCCAAAACACACGGCCAAGGCAACAAAGGAGTGGCTCAAGAAGAAGCACATTAAGGTCCTGGAGTGGCCTAGCCAGTCTCCAGACCTTAATCCCATAGAAAATCTGAGGGAGCTGAAGGTTCGAGTTGCCAAACGTCAGCCTCGAAACCTTAATGACTTGTAGAAGATCTGCAAAGAGGAGTGGGACAAAATCCCTCCTGAGATGTGTGCAAACCTGGTGGCCAACTACAAGAAACGTCTGACCTCTGTGATTGCCAACAAGGGTTTTGCCACCAAGTACTAAGTCATGTTTTGCAGAGGGGTCAAATACTTATTTCCCTCATTAAAATGCAAATCAATTTATAAAATTTTTTACATGCGTTTTTCTGGATTTCTTTGTTGTTATTCTGTCTCTCACTGTTCAAATAAACCTACCATTAAAAGTATAGACTGATCATGTCTTTGTCAGTGGGCAAACGTACAAAATCAGCAGGGGATCAAATACCTTTTTCCCTCACTGTAGACATTCTACAGACACTGTACTTTTAATATGTTTTACTTATGGTATTATGTTTTATGATAACATATTCGCTTAGGATCTTGCTTGGTGAAGTCTATAGGACCAAAAATGGATGAATGCAACAACCATGTCTCTGTCACTAACAAATACAGTCATGGGTGGTAACATCACAATTAACTCGAAAGGCAAGGCACACTGGGAAATATTTGAATAAGGTTTTACACTAAGCAGTGTATTAATTTAACACTGTTCCTGTGTCTATGTGGGTCCACAAACACAACACTTTCAGTTTTGATTTAACACTCCGTGTGGATTTAATCAAATCAAAATGTATTTGTCACATGCTTTGTAGACAACAGGTGTAGACACAGTGAAATGCTTACTTACGGGTTATTTTCCAACAATGCAGTCTTAAAGATAAAAAATACAATAAAACATTGAAATAGTGACACGAGGAATAAATACCCAGTGAATAACGAATAGAAATAACGAGTAAATAACATGGCTATATACAGGAAGTAGAAAATAACATGGCTATATACAGGAAGTAGAAAATAACATGGCTATATACCGGAAGTAGAAAATAACATGGATATATACAGGAAGTAGAAAATAACATGGCTATATACAGGAAGTAGAAAATAACATGGTATATACAGGAAGTAGAAAATAACATGGATATATACAGGAAGTAGAAAATAACATGGCTATATACAGGAAGTAGAAAATAACATGGATATGTAGAGGAAGTAGAAAATAACATGGATATATACAGGAAGTAGAAAATAGCATGGCTATATACAGGAAGTAGAAAATAACATGGCTATATACAGGAATGTGTAAGTCGCTCTGGATAAGAGTGTCTGCTAAATGACTTAAAAGTAATGTAAATGTGAAGTAGAAAATAACTTGGCTATATACAGGAAGTCGAAAATAACATGGATATGTGCATACAGGGAGTACCAGTATCGAGTCGATGTGCAGGGTTACGAGGTAATTGCGGTAGCTACATACTGTACATATAGGTAGGGGTAAAGTGACTAAGCAACAGGATAGATAATAGACAGTAGCAACAGCATATGTGAAAAAAAGTTAGTGGGTCAATGCAAGTAGTCCGGGTAGCCATTTGATTAGCTATTTAGCAGTCTTGTTTAGAAGTCTTATGGCTTGGGGGTAGAAGCTGTTTAGGGTCCTGTTGGTTCCAGACTTGGTGCATTAGTACTGCTTGCCGTGCGGTAGCAGAGAGAACATTCTGTGTCTTAGGTGGCTGGAGTCTTTGACCATTTTTAAAATGGTATAGAGGTCCTAGATGACAGGGAGCAGCTTGGCCCCAGTGATGTACTGGGCCGTACGCACTACCCTCTGTAGCGCCTTGCGGTCGGATGTCGAGCAGTTGCCATACAAAGCTCTGATGCAGCGAGCCAACACTGGAGAATTTGCTGTGCTATTTTCCCCTGTGTGTGTGTGTGTGTGTGTGTGTGTGTGTGTATGTGTGTGTGTGTGTGTGTGTTTGTATCTATGTCAGTTTCTCTTATATAACCATGCCTTTGTTATCCCCCCCTCTCTCTCTCGCTCTCTCGCTCTCTCTTGCTCTCTCTCTCCCCTCTAGATAACTCCAGGCACTAAGGCTGCAGGGGGCAGTCTAGTCCAGGGTGACATCATTGCATCGATAAACGGCCTCAGTACAGAGGGCATGACGCACCTGGAGGCACAGAACAAGATTAAGATCGCTTCCAATAAACTGACCCTCACCATGCAGAAGTAGACACACACACATACACACACACACATACACACACACAGACACACACACAGACACACACACATACACACACACATACACACTTGCTCTTAAAATACTTAGAAGATAACTTGCTCAACTACATAATGCTAAAAGTTTGTTGTTGTGGCTCCGAACCCAGGTCGAAACGTCCCGTCTCTATTCCCATGGCAACACCCAGAATGGACTCCCCCATGCCAGTTATCCCTCACCAAAAGGTAAACACACACACACTCAGACACACACACAGACACCAACACAAAAAAAATGTGTGCATTTGTGTCTACGTGTGTGTGCACGTGTATTTGAACAAAAGATGGGAATCAAATGGACTCAAAGGATGTGTGTTGGCGCCCTCTGGTGTTGCTATTGCAGCTGTAGCGGCTTCCACAGTAAAGAGCAGAGGAGCATCCTCCCCCCCCCCCCAGTCCCTTGCCGCTGCAGTGTCTCCCCCGAGCCAGAAGGGGCAGTATAACTCCCCCATTGGCCTGTACTCTGCACACACTCAGAGAGATGGCCCTGCTGCAAGGCAAGGTGGCAGGAGAGGAGGCAGGGGCTGCCAGACTGGGAGGAGAGGGGGCAACCAGTGGAGTGCCATTCATGGGGTAGGTAGCCTGGGGGCATAAACCTGTTCCCCGTTTAGTGCATTACTGTTGACCAGAGCATCACTGAGTTCCCAACCACCACCTCCCACAACAAAACCAAACTAACTGGGAAAAAACACTTCCTCCTCTCCCAACCACTGGAACTACTGGAACTAAGACCTTGTTGTACTACACCAATGTTTTATTTTGCTCGTCACTCTGTTCTTGTTCCCATCCTCTCCCATGGCCATCTCCAGTCTGGGACAACTTGGGGGGCGGGGGGGGGGGGGGGGTAACGAGCACGCACCCCTCAGAACATTCCGTGACTATCCCGGAACACATTACGCTGGCTCACATCCGCGCTCGCCGCCCGGAGTGGTAACGTGCACGCTCGGACACACGCCTGGACTGTCTCCAGGTGACACCACACCACAGGGTCACACTGTTCGTGTGTACATGATGACTACGGTCATTCCGCTGACAACAGGTGATTTAGCTCTTAGGCGCTGATGGCCTTTGAGGGAACATCCTGTCACCTCATCAGTTCTTCGCTAAACTAAGCTGGGCTGGGGGGTGAAGTTAAGAGGTTGTACTGATCGGCATATGTTAAACATGTCCGGTAACGTGTTGGTAAGCTTGACCGCATATCCCTAGTTCGGTACAAGTGACCCTCTTTTTGTAAGCTGACACAAACAAACACCAGAACAGCTGCTCCTTGCCACGCTGGAATGTTCCGCTCTGGTTAAAGAGGATCCCAAACCCTCCCTCTCATGCAGTATCTCTCTCTCACACACACACACACACACACACACACACACACACACACACACACACACACAGTGTCCTGGGATAGAGCCATCTCTATATTCAGCCCATAACCCCTAAACTGCTCCAACTATTTGGGTAGTGTGTGTGTCTCGGGGGTTTGGGCTAAGAGTAAAAATACCAATTTCCGATCTCTCCAAGAAAATGGACAATAAAGTATTCTTCTTCTGTCTGAGTGTGTGTACGTGCGCTTGTGCATGTCTGTGGGTGTGTGTGTGTGTTGTGATTGTGGAGCTCCTGCTCCTGTCTGTCAGTCTGCTGGCTCACAGGGAATCCAGGGAAATATCCCAGTGATGACACACAACGGCTATGCTGGGTCACAGGGAATCCAGGGAAATATCCCAGTGATGACACACAACGGCTATGCTGGGTCACAGGGAATCCAGGGAAATATCCCAGTGATGACACACAACGGCTATGCTGGGTCACAGGGAATCCAGGGAAATATCCCAGTGATGACACACAACGGCTATGCTGGGTCACAGGGAATCCAGGGAAATATCCCAGTGATGACACACAACGGCTATGCTGGGTCACAGGGAATCCAGGGAAATATCCCAGTGATGACACACAACGGCTATGCTGGGTCACAGGGAATCCAGGGAAATATCCCAGTGACGACACACAACGGCTATGCTGGGTCACAGGGAATCCAGGGAAATATCCCAGTGACGACACACAACGGCTATGCTGGGTCACAGGGAATCCAGGGAAATATCCCAGTGATGACACACAACGGCTATGCTGGGTCACAGGGAATCCAGGGAAATATCCCAGTGATGACACACAACGGCTATGCTGGGTCACAGGGAATCCAGGGAAATATCCCAGTGACGACACACAACGGCTATTATTATTAACACACAGAACGACTCCCAGCACTATAACCTTAATATCACTCTGACAATCCCTTACTCTCTCTCGCTCTTTCATATCGTTACAGATCATTACGAACACGGCTGGAAAGTCAGTACCACCTGAAAGTGGATCATTTGCATGAACAATGTTTAAGAGTGTGTGTGTGTGTGTGTGTAAACGTGAATGGCATCTTGCCCATAGTGTGAGCACTGATCCATTCTCTGGTGATGATGAAGTGTCAGTTCTGAGTGTGCTGCGTCCACGTGGCAGACTGTTGATACAGTACAAGATCACACTTCTACAGGTACTAACCCCGACTAGTGATGGGGAAGTGAAGCTTCCTGAAGCATTGAGCATTTCCAGCCAATTGTGTCGAAAATAGGTTCATTAATCAAGGCTTTGATAAAACACAGTGTACACTAGTGGCACCTGCTGGTCAAAATAATGTAGAGCAGCCAAATTATTATAGACGACGTCCCACACCTCATAGCATGTGCGCAGCGTAGCCTTTTGGTCTTCTACCAAACCAATACCAAACCAATCAGGTGGTTGGTTAACGACACGAAACTTCAGACATCATTGATCACGTGCTACTGATAAAGTGATTCAAGCATCGGCACATTGCTTCAAAGTACACTGCTTAGCGATGTCGACGCATACCTCAGAGCGCCGATTTCAAACGTAACATCACCAACCCTAACCCTATACTTCATAAAGGGTTTCTATAAGTTTATAGACTATTAATTATTTGTTTTTGTATCATTTATAAATAAGAAGTAAACTGCTTATATACTAAATGATGAACAGTCTAAAAATGACTTATAAACCTGTTACAAACCCTTTATAAAGGAAATTGTTACCCAGTATAATGTACTACAGTAATAATACCGTAGATACTTGGATGACGTCTAGTGTTGATGAAGTCTAATTGTAATAACACTAATCAACACTGTGCCGAAATGTTTTTAATTTTTTTATTATGGCATTGCATCATTTTCATTAGCATATTCCGTACATGTACATGTGTTGGTGTGTTAATGGGTATGCATATATGCATTTATGGCTAGTACACGTATGTTGGACTATGTTTGTTTATGTGTGGGTACACATCTGTATGTTTGTTGACGTGTGCATGTACATGCATTGGTAGCATATAGTATGTATGTTAATAAGGCATCATTACTACCTGGGAATGTACAGTGTGCATTTTGCAGTGTGCTTGTGGTGTGTTTAACATCCTGTTTGGTATTAGCTGGCTTTGATTGGTTTAGTTTTCCTAGCTTGTCTGTAGAATCTGTTGGAGATATTGTGTTCCTGGATCAGTGTGTATTTTCTTGACGTCAAGGCTCATGATCAATGTCCTGACTTGATATTAGAGTCAATGTATTACTAAGACAAAGTCATTCAGTTGTAGAAAAGGTTGTCACCTCTATCTGTTTAGAGAGAGAGACTAGGTACAATGTAATCAGTCATAGTGTACATGAGAGAGACAGACAGGTACTATATAATCAGTACCAGTGTACTAGAGAGACAGACAGGTACTATATAATCAGTGCCAGTGTCCTAGAGAGACAGACAGGTACTATATAATCAGTGCCAGTGTCCTAGAGAGACAGACAGGTACTATATAATCAGTGCCAGTGTCCTAGAGAGACAGACAGGTACTATTTAATCAGTGCCAGTGTCCTAGAGAGACAGACAGGTACTATATAATCAGTACCAGTGTCCTAGAGAGACAGACATGTACTATATAATCAGTGCCAGTGTCCTAGATAGACAGACAGGTACTATATAATCAGTGCCAGTGTCCTAGAGAGACAGACAGGTACTATATAATCAGTACCAGTGTCCTAGAGAGACAGACAGGTACTATATAATCAGTGCCAGTGTCCTAGAGAGACAGACAGGTACTATTTCATCAGTGCCAGTGTCCTAGAGAGACAGACAGGTACTATATAATCAGTACCAGTGTACTGAAAGTTCAGTTATGGCCCTCAGACAAAAGAAAGTGAAGTTATGACTCTGCCTCCCCGTCTCAGCCCTGCTCCTGCTGCACCTCTCACCATCTTCCTCTCTTTATCTCTTTCTTTTTCCCCTCCTCTCTTTATCTCTTTCTTTTTCCCCTCCTCTCTTTATCTCATTCTTTTTCCCCTCCTCTCTTTTCTCTTTCTTTTTCCCCTCCTCTCTTTATCTCTTTCTTTTTCCCCTCCTCTCTTTTCTCTTTCTTTTTTCCCTCCTCTCTTTATCTCTTTCTTTTTCCCCTCCTCTCTTTTCTCTTTCTTTTTCCCCTCCTCTCTTTATCTCTTTCTTTTTCCCCTCCTCTCTTTATCTCTTTCTTTTTCCCCTCCTCTCTTTATCTCTTTCTTTTTCCCCTCCTCTCTTTATCTCTCTCTGGTTGTCTGATTCCCTTACATCCTGTGAACCCAAATATGTATCCCTATTCCTGCCTGCCCCCTTTATCCTACAAACCCTCCCAAAATGACCCCTTACCCTTGACCCTGTGCCCCGACCCTATCCCCCCTCCAGTCAGGAGTATGTGCCCAACTTTAACCCCATAGCTCTGAAGGACTCGGCTCTGTCTACCCATAAACCCATCGAGGTGCGCGGCCCGGGAGGCAAGGCCACTATCGTCCACGCTCAGTACAACACCCCTATATCCATGTACTCACAGGACGCCATCATGGACGCTATTGCCGGACAGTCACAGTCCAAGGGCCGTGAGGGGTAGGAACAGACACACAGACACATACAAACACACACATACAAACACACACATGCATGCACACACATGGATGCAGACACATGCACGTACGCGCAGACACAATGCAGAGAATACATTTTGTGTTGAGTCATGCTGTATTTCTCCACTCCCACTTGTCCTTCCTTCCTTCCTTCCTTCCTTCCTTCCTTCCTTCCTTCCTTCCTTCCTTCCTTCCTTCCTTCCTTCCTTCCTTCCTTCCTTCCTTCCTTCCTTCCTTCCTTCCTTCCTTCCTTCCGTCCTTCCTTCCTTCCGTCCTTCCGTCCTTCCTTCCTTCCTTCCGTCCTTTCGTCACTTCATCCACAACCCACCAACCAACCAACCAATCAACCAACCACCCCGCCCCCTCTGATCAGTGATGTACCTGCTGGCTCCCCCCTGGCGTAAGTATAACCCCTTTCATTCTCCTTTTACTTTCCACCCTACTACTCTCCTCTCATATATACCAAATGTCTCATTTATAAGCATACTGTAATAAACTAATATCAGGCTCATATAATAAACAGTATCACATCCGTCTCATACGATATCATCACATTTGCATATATCATATGGATCTGGTGTTTTTCACATGGCTCTCTCCATGTGCCTAGCTATTTCTCTTTCCATGTCGGTCTCATTTCCATGTGTCTGTAGTTTTCATCTAGTTTCTTGCATCCAGAGGTGAACTATGGTGTTTCAGGGGTTAACAAAGGTGTTTCAATAAATCAATCAATCAAATTGTATTTATTAAGCCCTTTTTACATCAGCAGATGTCACAAAGTGCTATGCAGAAACCCAGCCTAAAACCCCAAACAGCAAGCAATGCAGATGTAGAAGCACGGTGGCTAGGAAAAACTCCCTAGAAAGGCAGAAACCTAGAGAGGAACCAGGATCTGAGGGGTGGTCCCCTTCTGGCAGTGCCGGGTGGAGATTTTAACAGTACATGGCCATTAAGGCCAGATTTTTCTCCAAGATGTTCAAACGTTCACAGATGACCAGCAGGGTCAAATAATAATCACAGTGGTTGTAGAGGTTGCAACAGGTAAGTACATCAGGTCCTGTGTAGCTCAGTTGGTAGAGCATGGTGCTTGCAATGCCAGGGTTGTGGGTTCGATTCCCACGGGGGGCCAGTATGAAAAATGTATGCACTCACTAACTGTAAGTCACTCTGCATAAGAGTGTCTGCTAAATGACTAAAATGTCAAATCAGGAGTAAATGTCACTTGGCTTTTCATAGCTGGGCATTTAGAGGTTGAGAGAGAGAGAGCTAACAGGTCAGGGTTCCATAGCTGTGGAAACTGGAGCAGCATCATGGACTGGGTACAGCAAGGAGTCATCAGGTCAGATGGTCCTCCGGGAGAAAGAGAATTAGAGGGAGCATACTTAAATTCACACAGGACAGGAGAATAACACCAGCATAGATACTGGAGACGGACGGGCGACACTATAGCCCCGGCATGTTTTTAGGGGTTAACTGGTCTGATGAAATAAAAAGGAATGTTCTGAGTATCACTGGTCTCCCCCTCCTGTTCTAACCCCCCAAACACTAGATGAGGCTCTTAACCCTAACCCAGCCAACCATCCTCCCGGAGAGCCCTGCCCTAACCCAGCCAACCATCCTCCCGGAGAGCCCTGCCCTAACCCAGCCAACCATCCTCCCGGAGAGCCCTGCCCTAACCCAGCCAACCATCCTCCCGGAGAGCCCTGCTCTAACCCAGCCAACCATCCTCCCGGAGAGCCCTGCCCTAACCCAGCCAACCATCCTCCCGGAGAGCCCTGCCCTAACCCAGCCAACCATCCTCCCGGAGAGCCCTGCTCTAACCCAGCCAACCATCCTCCCGGAGAGCCCTGCCCTAACCCAGCCAACCATCCTCCCGGAGAGCCCTGCCCTAACCCAGCCAACAATCCTCCCGGAGAGCCCTGCTCTAACACGCCTGATTCAGGGGTGGAGCACCAAGTAACTGTCTATACATATTAAAAACAAATGGTTCTACAGTGGGGAGAACAAGTATTTGATACACTGCCGATTTTGCAGGTTTTCCTACTTACAAAGCATGTAGAGGTCTGTAATTTTTATCAAAGGTACACTTCAACTGTGAGAGACGGAATCTAAAACAAAAATCCAGAAAATCACATTATATGATTTTTAAGTAATTAATTTGCATTTTATTGCATGACATAAGGATTTGATACATCAGAAAAGCAGAACTTAATATTTGGTACAGAAACCTTTGTTTGCAATTACAGCGATCATACGTTTCCTGTAGGTCTTGACCAGGTTTGCACACACTGCAGCAGGGATTTTGGCCCACTCCTCCATACAGACCTTCTCCAGATCCTTCAGGTTTCGGGGCTGTTGCTGGGCAATACGGACTTTCAGCTCCCTCCAAAGACTTTCTATTGGGTTCAGGTCTGGAGACTGGCTAGGCCACTCCAGGACCTTGAGATGCTTCTTACGGAGCCACTCCTTAGTTGCCCTGGCTGTGTGTTTCGGGTCGTTGTCATGCTGGAAGACCCAGCCACGACCCATCTTCAAAGCTCTTACTGAGGGAAGAAGGTTGTTGGCCAAGATCTCGCGATACATGGCCCCATCCATCCTCCCCTCAATACGGTGCAGTCGCCCTGTCCCCTTTGCAGAAAAGCATCCCCAAAGAATGATGTTTCCACCTCCATTATTCACGGTTGGGATGGTGTTCTTGGGGTTGTACTCATCCTTCTTCTTCCTCCAAACACGGCGAGTGGAGTTTAGACCAAAAAGCTCTATTTTTGTCTCATCAGACCACATGACCTTCTCCCATTCCTCCTCTGGATCATCCAGATGGTCATTGGCAAACTTCAGACGGGCCTGGATATGCACTGGCTAGAGCAGGGGGACTTTGCGTGCGCTGCAGGATTTTAATCCATGACGGCGTAGTGTGTTACTAATGGTTTTCTTTGAGACTGTGGTCCCAGCTCTCTTCAGGTCATTGACCAGGTCCTGCCGTGTAGTTCTGGGCTGATCCCTCACCTTCCTCATGATCATTGATGCCCCAACGAGGTGAGATCTTGCATGGAGCCCCAGACCGAGGGTGATTGACCGTCATCTTGAACTTCTTCCATTTTCTAATAACTGCGCCAACAGTTGTTGCCTTCTCACCAAGCTGCTTGCCTATTGTCCTGTAGCCAATCCCAGCCTTGTGCAGGTCTACAATTTTATCACTGATGTCCTTACACAGCTCTCTGGTCTTGGCCATTGTGGAGAGGTTGGAGTCTGTTTGATTGAGTGTGTGGACAGGTGTCTTTTATACAGGTAACGAGTTCAAACAGGTGCAGTTAATACAGGTAATGAGTGGAAAACAGGAGGGCTTAAAGAAAAACTAACAGGTCTGTGAGAGCCGGAATTCTTACTGGTTGGTAGGTGATCAAATACTTATGTCATGCAATAAAATGCAAATTAATTACTTAAAAATCATACAATGTGATTTTCTGTATTTTTGTTTTAGATTCCGTCTCTCACAGTTGAAGTGTACCTATGATAAAAATTACAGACCTCTACATGCTTTGTAAGTAGGAAAACCTGCAAAATCGGCAGTGTATCAAATACTTGTTCTCCCCACTGTATATAGTGCTAAATAAGGGTTCTTTGGCTTGTAACCACAGCGGAACCCTTTTTGGTGCTACATGGAACAATTTATTGAAGATTCTATAAAGAATCAAGCTAATAAGATTCTAAATAAAACTTGTCTGGCGCAATAAAGAACCCTTTCCTAAGGTACCATTTAAAAAGGTTATACAGTTCATTCTGAAATTATTCGGACCCCTTTTTTTAAAACTTTTTTTATTATGGTTTAATAGTCATATTATATTGTTACAATTCTGTAGGTTTTATTATTGTGTTTATTAACAAGTTGAAGCAGTTGTGCTAGCTCTGGAACGGCTGGGGGTCCCTGAAGAGAGAATTGAGAACTACTGACTCAGTCAACCTTTCTCAATTGACATAAGGCCATACATGAGTCGTTCACAAAACACCATCACTGGCCATAGCTATATATCACATGCAACAGCATGACACAACAGATTAGATAAACTGGAACGACACTCACTCACGGTTGCACAAAAAGAGCTGTGACCAAACCACGCCCCCAAATACATTTTCATTATCACTAAAAGAGGAAAGAACAGTTTTTTGAACTGCAAATAACCAGAAGGATTACTTTATCCTATCCCAGGTATTCCTTAAAGAGGTGGGGTTTCAAATGTCTCCGGAAGGTGGTGAGTGACTCCGCTGTCCTGGCGTCGTGAGGGAGCTTGTTCCACCATTGGGGTGCCAGAGCAGCGAACAGTTTTGACTGGGCTGAGCGGGAACTATGCTTCTGCAGAGGAAGGGGAGCCAGCAGGCCAGAGGTGGATGAACGCAATGCCCTCGTTTGGGTGTAGGGACTGATCAGAGCCTGAAGGTACGGAGGTGCCGTTCCCCTCACAGCTCCATAGGCAAGCACCATGGTCTTGTAACAGATGCGAGCTTCAACTGGAAGCCAGTGGAGTGTGCGGAGGAGCGGGGTGACGTGAGAGAACTTGGGAAGGTTGAACACCAGACGGGCTGCGGCATTCTGGATGAGTTGTAGGGGTTTAATGGCACAGGCAGGGAGCCCAGCCAACAGCGAGTTGCAGTAATCCAGACGGGAGATGACAAGTGCCTGGATTAGGACCTGTGCCGCTTCCTGTTTAAGGCAGGGTCGTACTCTCCGAATGTTGTAGAGCATGAACCTACAGGATCGGGTCCCCGCCTTGATGTTAGCGGAGAACGACAGGGTGTTGTCCAGGGTCACGCCAAGGCTCTTCGCACTCTGGGAGGAGGACACATCGGAGTTGTCAACCGTGATGGCGAGATCATGGAACGGGCAGTCCTTCCCCGGGAGGAAGAGCAGCTCCGTCTTGCCAAGGTTCAGCTTGAGGTGGTGATCCGTCATCCATACTGATATGTCTGCCAGACATGCAGAGATGCGATTCGCCACCTGGTTATCAGAAGGGGGAAAGGAGAAGATTAGTTGTGTATCGTCAGCGTAGCAATGATAGGAGAGGCCATGTGAGGATATGACAGAGCCAAGTGACTTGGTGTATAGCGAGAATAGGAGAGGGCCTAGAACTGAGCCCTGGGGGACACCAGTGGTGAGAGCACGTGGTGCGGAGACAGCTTCTCGCCACGCCACTTGGTAGGAGCGACCGGTCAGGTAGGACGCAATCCAAGAGTGAGCCGCGCCGGAGATGCCCAGCTCGGAGAGGGTGGAGAGGAGGATCTGATGGTTCACAGTATCAAAGGCAGCAGACAGGTCTAGAAGGACAAGAGCAGAGGAGAGAGAGTTAGCTTTAGCAGTGCGGAGAGCCTCCGTGACACAGAGAAGAGCAGTCTCAGTTGAATGACCAGTCTTGAAACCTGACTGGTTTGGATCAAGAAGGTCATTCTGAGAGAGATAGCAAGAGAGTTGGCTAAAGACGGCACGCTCAATAGTTTTGGAAAGAAAAGAAAGAAGGGATACTGGTCTGTAGTTGTTGACATCAGAGGGATCGAGTGTTGGTTTTTTGAGAAGGGGTGCAACTCTCGCTCTCTTGAAGACGGAAGGGACATAGCCAGCGGTCAAGGATGAGTTGATCAGCGAGGTGAGGTAGGGGAGAAGGTCACCGAAGATGGTCTGGAGAAGAGAGGAGGGGATAGGGTCAAGCGGGCAGGTTGTTGGGCGGCCTGCAGTCACAAGTCGCAAGATTTTATCTGGAGAGAGAGGGGAGAAAGAAGTCAAAGCATAGGGTAGGGCAGTGTGAGCAGGACCAGCAGTGTCATTTGACTTAACAAACGAGGATCGGATGTCGTCAACCTTCTTTTCAAAGTGGTTGACGAAGTCATCCACAGAGAGGGAGGAGGGGGGGGGGGGGAGGATTCAGCAGGGAGGAGAATGTGGCAAAGAGCTTCCTAGGGTTAGAGGCAGATGCTTGGAATTTAGAGTGGTAGAAAGTGGCCTTAGCAGCAGAAACAGATGAAGAAAATGTAGAGAGGAGGGAGTGAAAAGATGCCAGGTCCGCAGGGAGTCTAGTTTTCTTCCATTTCCGCTCAGCTGCCCGGAGCTCTGTTCTGTGAGCTCGCAATGAGTCATCAAGCCACGGAGCTGGAGGGGAGGACCGAGCCGGCCGGGAGGATAGGGGACATAGAGAGTCAAAGGATGCAGAAAGGGAGGAGAGGAGGGTTGAGGAGGCAGAATCAGGAGATTGGAGGGAGAAGGATTGAGCAGAGGGAAGAGATGATAGGATGGAAGAGGAGAGAGTAGCGGGAGAGAGAGAGCGAAGGTTGCGGCGGTGCATTACCATCTGTGTAGGGGCAGAGTGAGTAGTGTTGGAGGAGAGCGAGAGAGAAAAGGATACAAAGTAGTGGTCGGAGACATGGAGGGGAGTTGCAGTGAGATTAGTAGAAGAACAGCATCTAGTAAAGATGAGGTCAAGCGTATTGCCTGCCTTGTGAGTAGGGGGGGACGGTGAGAGGGTGAGGTCAAAAGAGGAGAGGAGTGGAAAGAAGGAGGCAGAGAGAAATGAGTCAAATCTAGACGTAGGGAGGTTGAAATCCCCCAGAACTGTGAGGGGTGAGCCATCCTCAGGAAAGGAACTTATCAAGGCGTTAAGCTCATTGATGAACTCTCCAAGGGAACCTGGAGGGCGATAGATGACAAGGATATTAAGCTTAAATGGGCTAGTGACTGTGACAGCATGGAATTCAAATGAGGAGATAGACAGATGGGTTAGGGGAAAAATTGAGAATGTCCACTTGGGAGAGATGAGGATTCCTGTGCCACCACCCCGCTGACCAGATGCTCTTGGGGTATGCGAGAACACATGGTCAGACGAGGAGAGAGCAGTAGGAGTAGCAGTGTTTTCAGTGGTAATCCATGTTTCCGTCAGCGCCAAGAAGTCGAGGGACTGGAGGGTAGCATAGGCTGGGATGAACTCTGCCTTGTTGGCAGCAGAACGGCAGTTCCAGAGGCTGCCTGAGACCTGGAACTCCAGGTGGGTGGTGCGTGCAGGGACCACCAGGTTAGAGAGGCAGCAGCCACGCGGTGTGAGGCGTTTGTGTAGCCTGTGCGGAGAGGAGAGAACAGGGATAGGCAGAGGCATAGTTGACAGGCTGCAGCAAATGGCTACAATAATGCAGAGGAGATCGGAATGAAATGAACTAAACATCTGGGAAAGGAGAGAGCGGGGCCTCCCTCACCACAACTCCCAAATATAACTCTCCCAACTTCCACCTCAGAAACTATAATTGTTTCACTGAAACACCCGAATATAACTCTCCCAACTTCCACTTTAGAAATTATAATTGTTGTAAACTACAGCGGTTCAATGATTCTAGGAATAGACTCTAACTTACTTTATTCAGCTAGCTAACTTGGTACAGTATTCTTCCATGAAAACCGCCCAGGGCACCGTATCCTATGACGCCATAGCTAACTAGCATGCTAGCATCCAATAACACACGGTTTAGCACCAATACTTGGTTACAACAAACTACCAATAGTGTGTTAACACACTAAACAGATAATTCGTGTCCGTGTCTAGTTCCTTTCATAACGCAGCAATAATTAAACGTTGGCTAGCTAGCACAAAGTCAGTCATGCTAGCTACACAAGTGGACTACACATCTCGAATGTTCAGAAAGGGAAGCTTTATGTTGCAAAATTATCATTGACTAAAATTATATTGTATTTAGCTGCTACAGTACTGCTAGCTGGTAGTGTTGGCTAGCTAGCAATGGCTGTGGTGTTGACTTTGTTTGAAAAACGGCGTCGCTGCGAACGAATGTAGCTGGCTAGCTAACCAGCATGCTCTACTGTAGGTATCTTTTTAGGAATTGTTTTTACATCTGTGTTTTTGCATATACATTGAGTGATTGATTAATGAATCTTATGCTACACAAAGATAAATAACATACACTTTTCTAAACCAATCCAATCATTTAGTTAGATGTTTTGCACCCGTTACTGTAATTGTCGTTCCAGTTTAAATGGCTAAGTCTCCTCACATCATTCCAGGTGATAGTGGGATGTTGTCATGCTGGCTGTTTTCCAATAGGACTTACACATCACTTTGCAAGATTAATGTGACTTGCAGGTAGGATTGCAAAATGTTGGTATTTTTCATGTTTTCCAGAAATGTTGGTTGGAAGACTCCTGGAAATCTGCGAAGCAGTTTTATGAAAAAAATTGTATGTGTGAGTTTTGGAACAAGTGTAGTGGATTTTTACAATCCTTCTTGCAAGTCTGACTTATGAGATATGTGATGTATCGCCATAAAGCGTTAAATTATAATAGTCACCTAGGAACTCACTTGGTGAAGGCCACAGGACTGTAAATAATGAATTCAACAACCTCTGTCACTAACAAATACAGTAATGGGTGGTAACTACAATTAACTCGAAAAGGCAAGGCACACTGGGAAATTGTATTGCAGGCGTGCCTTACTGGGGGCGTTACAAAAAAAATTAATGCTGATACAACTCAAATCTGGACCCCCCTAGAGCAGGGTTCCCCAACTGGCGGCCCACGGGTGGTGAATTTTCATCATTGGACATAAAAGACTGTAAAAACACCCGAAATCAGCTCCAAGTGATTCTAATGATCTGTTCCCAAGTATTCCCACACATAATAGATACTGTACATGTGATCGTATACAAATGTAAGTAAGGTTTGAAACGATGTTTCAGTCAAATATTTTATCTGTTTGGGATTCTTGCGGTCAAATTGCAGTCTCCAAATTATTTGTAATTACGTTCCCGGCCCCCGACCATCCACTCAAGAAAAGAAATTGGACCGCAGCTGAATCTAGTTGATGATCCCTACCCTACAGGGTCACAGTGACTATCGGTTTGAGTAATGACTACAAAATCACTTAAGTAACTGTACTCAGATATATTAAGTGCAAGAGGTTTCCTCAAAAGTTTCATTGGAATCCAGCCAGAGTTAGAATACCCAACAGTTGACATTTTCATTCACCCTGCAACCTGTATTCATAATGACTGGCAGGGTTTGGAACATCGTGTGGAGAATACCTTATTCATTTAAAGTGGAACAACAATTTCAGTAACGGGTGCAAAACAAATCTAACTAAATGATTTAATTAGTTTAGAAATATGTATGTTTTTTATCTTTGTGTAGCATAAAATTAATCAATTATTCACTGTACATGCAAAACACAGATATTACAAACTATTCCCAAAAATCTACCTGCAGTAGAGCATGGTGGGAAAAAGTTAACTTGTTATCATAACTTTTAAAACATTTAGTTGATGTGATTTCTCATTTAGTTTTGAATCAGTACCACATAAACATTTTAAATAATAATTACTTTTCATTGACTTTGAGTTCAACTTACTATAACTTTTTGAGTTAAAAATGCCTTGTGGGTTTACAGTGATGGACTAGTTACTGACATCATGTACCCTGCCTGCAGTGGTTCCCTGCCTGTGAAGGCCCCAGTGGTTGACAGTGCGTCTCCAGTCTACCAGGCTGTGATCCAGCCACATGACAGAGACGAGGAGATGGCCGAGTGGGCCAGACGGGCTGCCAACCTGCAGTCCAAGAGCTTCAGGATCCTGGCCCACCTCACCGGCACCGAATACAGTCAGCACACTCAACTCCCTCTTTCTCTCTCGTTCTGTCCATCTCTTATTCTCTCTCTACTCTCCTTCCCTCTTCATCCCCTGTCTTCTCTGTCTCTGTACCTCTGAGGACTTCAAGCATTGATTTATTTTCTTCATGTTTTACGTATCCTCACTTCTCTTCTCCCTCTCTACTCTCTCTCTTCTTCCCCTCCAACCCCTCTCTTCTCCCTCTCTACTCTCTCTCTTTTTCCCCTCCACCCCCCTCTCTTCTCCCTCTCTACTCTCTCTCTTCTTCCCCTCCACCCCCTCTCTTCTCCCTCTCTACTCTCTCTCTTCTTCCCCTCCAACCCCTCTCTTCTCCCTCTCTACTCTCTCTCTTCTCCCTCTCCACCCCCTCTCTTCTTCCCCTCCACCCCCTCTCTTCTTCCCCTCCACCCCCTCTCTTCTTCCCCTCCACCCCCTCTCTTCTTCCCCTCCAACCCCTCTCTTCTTCCCTCCAACCCCTCTCTCTTCCCCTCCACCTCCAACCCCCTCTCTCTTCCCCTCCAACCCCTCTCTTCTTCCCCTCCCACCCCCTCTCTTCTTCCCCTCCAACCCCTCTCTTCTCCCTCTCTACGTCTCTCTCTTCTTCCCCTCCCCCCCTCTCTTCTTCCCCTCCACCCCCCTCTCTTCTTCCCCTCCAACCCCTCTCTTCTCCCTCTCTACTCTGTCTCTTCTTCCCCTCCTCCTCCCTTCATTTCTCCCCCTTCTCTGTCCTCAGTGCAAGACCCAGATGAGGAGGCCCTGCAGAGGTCAAGGTGAGGCGCACACACAGAGTCTTGTATAACTAACCTTATGGGGACACACAATTCATTCCCATTCCAAATCCAATTTTCCCTAAACCTAACCCGTACCCTTACCCTAACCTTGAACCGGAAACCTAACCTTAACCCTAACACTAAACCTAACCCTAAAACTAACCCTAGCTCCTAACCCTAAACCTAATCCTAACATTAACCTTTACCCTAAACCCACTAAAAATAGCATTTGACCTTGTGGGGACTAACAATGTATAGTTAAACATGTCCACGCACACACACACACATTTGATCCTCTGGTCTCTCTCTCTCTCTCTCTCTCTCTCTCTCTCTCTCTCTCTCTCTCTCTCTCTCTCTCTCTGTCTTTCTCCCAGGGATAAGTTTGAGTCGGAAGTGAAAGGACCTCGCTTCCAGAAGCTGAAGAACTGGCACAACGGGCTCTCAGCTGGGATCCTCAATGTCCCCGAGACTCCCTTCTAATAGATCTATCAGATCTATCCTTTACCTTTGGAATGTTTGGAATGTTTAGAATGTTTGGAATGTTTAGAATGTTTGGAATGTTTAGAATGTTTGGAATGTTTAGAATTTCTTTCCTTTTTCATTCTTTTTGGTTGTTCTGTCTCTCCTAACTGATAGGGAACTGTACAAAAACATATTTCAGAGAAATTGTAAAAGTGATCATGTAAACACACACACACACACTCGCCAACACGCACACATGAACACAACTATGTACACATGCTAACTTAACAAAAATGCACACACAAATTTCAAATGTACTATTATCAATGTGAATAAATATTTTCTTAAACCAAATTAGCTGTGTGAGTGTTGATCATGTGTCTCATGTGTCTCTGGTAGTTTTCTCTCAACTTACAGATATGGCCACAGACACCTGGTGATCAACCGTTCAAATGATACGGCGGTACGGGGATCTTTAAAAAAAAATGTAGATAGATCTAGATCTCGTTTCCAAAATACCTATCCCGAGTGGCGCAGTGGTCTAAGGCACTGCATCTCAGTGCTTGAGGCGTTACTACAGACCCCCTGGTTCGATTCCAGGCTCTATCACAACCGGCTGTGATTGGGAGTCTCATAGGGCGGGCACAATTGGCCCGGTTTTGGCCGGTGTAGGCCGTCATTGTAAATAAGAATTTGTTCTTAACTGACTTGCCTAGTCAGATAAAAACATACAGTACCAGTCAAAAGTTTGGACACACCTACTCATTCAAGGGTCTTTATACCAACCATGCCTTGTCACGACACAACAGATTGGCTCAAATGCATTAAGAAGGAAAGAAATTCCACAAATTAACTTTTAACTTGGCACACTTGTTAATTGAAATGCATTCCAGGTGACTGCCTCATGAAGCTGGTTGAGAGAATGCCAAGAGTGTGCAAAGATGTCATCAAGGCAAAGGGTGGCTACTTTGAAGAATTTTAAATGTATTTGGATTTGTTTAACACTTTCTTGGTTACTACATGATTCAATATGTGTTATTTCATAGTTTTAATGTCTTCACTATTATTCTACAATGTAGAAAATAGTCAACATAAAGAAAACCCCTTGAATGAGTAGGTGTGTCCAAACTTTTGACTGGTACTGTATATACAGTGCATTCGGAAAGTATTCAGTCCTCAGAGTTCAGAGTTTTTCCACATTTTGTTACGTTACGGCCATGTTCTGAAATTGATTAAATGAAAAATGTTCCTCATCAAGCTACACACAATACCCCATTATGACAAAGCGAACACAGGTTCTTAGAATTTTTGTCAAATGTATTAAAAATAAAAAACTGAAATACCTTATTTACATAAGTATTCAGACCGTATGAGACTCGAAATTGAGCTCAGGTGCATCCTGTTTCCATTGATCATCCTTGAGATGTTTCTACAACTTGATTGGAGTCCACCTGTGGTAAATTCAATTGATTGGACATGATTTGGAAAGACACACACCTGTCTATATAAGGTCCCACAGTTGACAGTGCATGTTAAAGAAAAAAGCAAGTCATGAGGTTGAAGGAATTGTCTGTAGAGCTCCGAGACAGGATTGTGTCAAGGCACAGATCTGGGGAAGGGTACCAAAAAAGGTCTGCAGCATTGAAGGTCCCCAAGAACACAGTGGCCTCCGTCATTCTTAAATGGAAGAAGTTTGGAACCACCAAGACTCTTCCTAGAGCTGGCCGCCCAGCAAAACTGAGCAATCGAGGGAGAAGGGCCTTGGTCAGGGAGGTGACCAAGAACCCAATGGTCACTCTGACAGAGCTCCAGAGTTCTTCTGTGGAGATGGGTGAACCTTCCAGAAGGACAACCATCTCTGCATCACTCCACCAATCAGGCCTTTATGGTAGAGTGGCCAGACGGAAGCCACTCCTCAGGAAAAGGCACATGACAGTCCGCTTGGAGTTTGCCAAAAGGCACCTGAAGGACTCTCAGACCATGAGAAACAAGATTCTCTGGTCTGATGAAACTAAGATTGAGCTCTTTGGCCTGAATGCCAAGCATCACTTCTGGAGGAAACCTGGCACCATCCCTACGGTGAAGCATGGTGGTGGCAGCATCATGCTGTGTGGATGTTTTTCAGCGGCAGGGACTGGGAGACTAGTCAGGATAGAGGGAAAGATTAACCAAGCAAAGTGCAGAGAGATCCTTGATGAAAACCTGCTCCAGAGCGCTCAGGGGCGAAGGTTCACCTCCCAACATGACAACGACCCTAAGCACACAGCCAAGACAACGAAGGAGTGGCTTAGGGACCAGTCTCTGAATGTCCTTGAGTGGCCCAGTCAGAGCCCGGACTTGAACCCGATCTAACATCTCTGGAGAGACCTGAACATAGCTGTGCAGCGACACTTGAGAGGAACTGCAGAGAAGAATGGGAGAAACTCCCCAAATACAGGTGTGCCAAACTTGTAGCGTCATACCCAAGAAGACTTGCGGCTGTACTCGCTGCCAAAGGTGCTTCAACAAAGTACTGAGTAAAGGGTCTGAATACTTATGTAATTGTGATATTTCTGTTTAAATAAATAAATTAGCAAACATTTCTAAAAACATGTTTTTGTTTTGTCATTATGGGGTTTTGTGTGTAGATTTATGAGGAACAAATACAATTTAATCAATTTTAGAATAAGGCTGTAACAACAAAATGTGGAAAAAGTCAAGGGGTCTGAATAATTTCCAAATGCACTGTACACATTAAAATACAAAAACACAGTCATGGTAAGCACAAATAAAACATCACAAATCACCCATTGCGGCGTAGAGAGAGAGGAGAGAGAAAGAGGTGTAGGAGACGCAAGAGGGTGTGGGAGACAGAGGACAAGTGAGGGTGTTGCATCTTCTAATTTGGCTGTGAAAGTCCTTAGCGTCCATTTTGTGACAGGAATCGATTCCTAGGTTCTGCTGTGTCATGATGCAGTGTGTATTATGGCCACTGGAGGGAGTGCCTCTACACAGACACATACTGTGGGTTGAATGTAGATAGATTTAAAGGTCCAATGCAGACGTTTTTTTTTTTTATGTCAATATCTTAGCATTTCTGTGATTGTTTTCAATTAAAATGGTAGAAACAAAAATAGCTTCTTAGCATAAGCAAGATTGTTGCTAAGACTGTCTTGGAGTGGTTTGAATGGGGAGGGGAAAACTTTAAATTAGCTGGGAAATGGGATACCTAGTCACTTGCACAACTGAATGCATTCAACCAAAATGTGTCTTCCGCATTTAACCCAAATGAATGAGGGAGGTGCGGGGGGCTGCCTTAATCAATAAAGCAGTTTTTCTTGGGCAGAACAGCAGATCCTCTGTAGCTCAGCTGGTAGAGCACGGCGCTTGAAACGCCAAGGTAGTGGGTTCGATCCCCGGGACCACCCATACACAAAAAAATGTATGCACGCATGACTGTAAGTCGCTTTGGATAAAAGCGTCTGCTAAATGGCATATAATTTTTATTATTATTTACCACCAGGGATTTGAACCAGCGATCTTTCAGTTTACTGGCCTAAATGTTCTTAACCGCTAGGCTACCTGCTGCCCCGGTTATTGGCAGAGAAGTTTAAAACTCTCTTTCTTATTGGTCTATTAACTAATTTACCGCACTGTGATGTCACTTTGAAGGCCACAACTCCATCCCACCGAAACAGGCAGAAATATCAGGCGGTCTTTTCAAACAGCTCTTACACTAAAATATTATTATAATCATTTTCACAATTTCACAGTATTTTTTCAACCTCAGTGTGGAAATATATATAAAACACAGGAAAATCACATTTTTGACTACACTGGACCTTTAAGAGAACAGGTCATAAGGGGGTTGGGGTGGGGCAAAGAGGGGGTGCAGGGGTGAGTCAGCATTTTGTCATACCACTGAGAGAAAATGGCTGCCTGAATCGAAGCTATTGGCTATGGTCAGTTTCTCTCCTCTTCTCCCCAAAGAATACACTTGCTCACCCCCCTTGCATGGATTTTAAAGGAATGGACCGGACATTCTCTTCAATTGGACTAGGTTAAGGAACATGTTGGAAGCTGAGTAAGGTCAGAGGTGATGTCACAGCACACTTTCAGGAAGTGTAGATTCAGCTAATAATACGATGGTAAACTGATAATTATAACTGCAGCATTATCATGAATATTTAATCATTTCATTCCCTTTTCAGAACCCCAGCCATCTCAACAAGCTCTCCAATCAATTTTCTTTATTCATCAAATAGATTTTTAAAAATCACATAAATCTCAGACAGAGCAACCTGCGTATTAAATATGGAGTCAGACAGCTTGAGGTCGCTCTGCGTGTGTGAGCAATGAGAGAGAGAGAGTGAAAGAGAGCGAGGGAGGGAGGGAGGGACGAGAGGGAAAGGGAGGGGTTGGCTGCATCGTGACTTAAATATGCTGCAGCATCCAGCAGGTTCTGTCTTTCTGCCTCTCATTCTCTCCATCACATGCTCTCTTTATTTCTCTCTCTCACTGTCCGCTCAGTCTGCATCCTGTAGCCCTGCTGTGCAGTCCTCTCTCTCTCCATCTCTCTCTCTGCACCACTATTGGAGGAGGAGTCACTGACACACACACACACAACCTCTCTCACGCACCGTCTCTCTCTCTCACACAAACTCTGTGTGACCATCCCAGCCAGCAGCCCAGTTTCAGAGCAGGGGAGCCCAGGAGAGACCTATCCTAGAATGGATGTACTGATGAAGGGGTTCAGTATGGCCAAGGAGGGGGTGGTGGCCGCAGCAGAGAAGACCAAGGCTGGGGTGGAGGGGGCAGCCGCTAAGACCAAGGAGGGGGTTATGTATGTAGGTAAGTATACCCACAGCACCGCAATGAGTGAATGCGTGAGTGAGTGAGTGTGTGTGTGCGTACGGTGAAGGGGCTCCATGGTTGCACCAGTCTGGGACAGTTACAGTGAGGAAGGGGGAGGGAAGGGGAGGGGGTTGCCAAGGAGCAGAGGCAGAATGCTGCAGAACTGGTGCAGAGAGGGAAAGAGGGAACGAGGGAACGAGGAGCAGAGGGGATAGAAAGAAAGAGATGGGGTGTGGTAGAGACAAGGGTGAAGAAAAGAAGAGAGGGGCAGAGAGGAAGACATGGAGTGAAGAAATCAGATAAAGAGAGGAGGATAGAGAGAGGTCTAGAGAGAATAGACGGTGTGGAAATGTCTCTGAATAAGAGTCTGAGAAAAAGAGTGTGATGAGAGAAAGAGAAAAGGAAGACGGAGGAAGAGAGAACTAGAAGAGAGAGGGAAAGATGTAGTGTGACATTGGTGGGACTGCAGCAGTTCATAAGAGCGCTATAACATGTTATAACCTAGATAAGACCATGCCAAGGCTGCTACCACCAGACCATTAGACAAGGTCCAATACTGTGATTCTGTGAGAGGGGATACTGTGAGAGGGGATTCTGTGAGAGGGGATTCTGTGAGAGGGGATACTGTGAGAGGGGATACTGTGAGAGGGGATACTGTGAGAGGGGATTCTGTGAGAGGGGATACTGTGAGAGGGGATTCTGTGAGAGGGGATACTGTGAGAGGGGATACTGTGAGAGGGGATACTGTGAGAGGGGATTCTGTGAGAGGGGATACTGTGAGAGGGGATACTGTGAGAGGGGATTCTGTGAGAGGGGATACTGTGAGAGGGGATACTGTGAGAGGGGATACTGTGAGAGGGGATTCTGTGAGAGGGGATACTGTGAGAGGGGATACTGTGAGAGGGGATTCTGTGAGAGGGGATTCACCAGTGTGTGTGTGAGTGTGTTTGTGCATCACAGCTCAAGGTTAGCCTGTGTGAGCTGAGTATTACAGCAATCCTCTCTTCCCGGTGTGTGGTGTGTGTGTGTGTGTGTGTGTCCACACATGCTGCAGGCTAGTGTGTGACTGCTGATGACTAATTACCTTCCTCCCCCTTCAGAGTTTATAGACCTCTACAGACAGAGGGAGTGATGGGAAGAGAGAAAGTATAAATCAATGCTGATTTATACTAAACAAAAATATAAACGCAACATGCAATAATTTCAAAGATTTTACTGAGTTACAGTTCATATGAGGAAATCAGTCAATTGAAATAAATAAATTAGGGCCTAATCTATGGATTTCACATGACTGGGAATACAGATATGCATCTGTTGGTCACAGATACCTAAAATAAATGGGCCTCACAATTGCCCTCAGGATCTCGTCACGGTATTTCTGCATTCAAATTGCCATTGATAAACTGCAATTGTGTTCGTTGTCCGTAGCTTATGCCTGCCCATACCATAACCCCACTGCCACCATGGGGCACTCTGTTTACAACGTTGACATCAGCCAACCACTTGCCCACACAATGCCATACACGTGGTCTGCGGTTGTGACACTGGTTGGACATACTGCCAAATTCTCTAAAACGATGTTGGAGGCGGCTTATGGTAGGGAAATTAACATTAAATTATCTGGCAACAGCTTTGGTGGACATTCCTGCAGTCAGCATGCCAATTGCACGCTCCCTCAAAACTTGAGACATCTGTGACCTTGTGTTGTGTGAGTGGCCTTTTATTGTCCCCAGCACAAGGGGCACCTGTGTAATGAGCATGCTGGTTAGTCAACTTCTTGATATGCCACACCTGTCAGGTGGATGGATTATCTTGGCAAAGGAGCAATGCTCACGAACAGGAATGTAAACAAATTTGTGCACAAAATTTGCAAGAAATACGTTTTTTTGTGCGTATGGAACATTTCTGGGATCTTTTATTTCAGCTCATGAAACATGGGACCAACACTTTACATGTTGCGTTTATATTTTTGTTCAGTGTACATTTAAAAGAGCGAGAGAGAGAGCGAGAATAGACCCTGGTGTTACGTCATTGATCTGGCTGCTTCCTGCCCCATGGCTTAGAGATGAACAGATGGAGAAAGAGATGGATAAAGCAAGAGAGCTTCAGTGCTGGGTTGCTTACATTTGCGTAACCTGTACAAGTGTGTGGTGTGGAAATGTATTTTGTGCATATCCCACTCAGAGTGTGGGGTCACAGCCAGATATCAGCCATTATTGAGCAATTAGGGTTAAGTGCTTGCCCAAGGGCAGATCGACCGATTTTTTCACCTAATCAACTCACTAGCAACCTTTCAGTTACTGGCACAATGCTCTTACTGCTAGGCTACCTGCCGTGTAGAGTGTTAATGTTCCTGAACACCTACTGTATCTACACGCTAAGAAAAGAGAGTTCCTCAAGGGGAAGGGTGATGGTTCTATGTGGAACCATAATGACTCTTTTAGTGATAATTAAAATGTAGGACCGGCTGCTCATTCAAATATTTTGGGGCGTGGTTTACGCACAGCTCTTTTTGTGCAACCGTGAGTGAGAGTGTCATTCCAGTTTATCTAGCATGTTGTGTTATGCTGTTACATGTTATATATGATTATGGCCGTTGACAGTGTTTGTTAAATATTCACATATGGTCTTGTGTCAAGTGAGAACAGTTACATAAGTCATTAATTCTCTCTTCAAAGACCCCCAGCTGTTCTAGAGCTAGCACACCTGATTTAATTTGTCAGTTAACACAATAATACTGCCTATGGAATTTTAACAATATAAAATGGCTGACCAGAATAAAAAAAACCTGTATGCTTCCTAAAAAGGATCTACAAAGAACTTTTGATTTTGGGGAAGATTCTTTATAGAATCATTCTCCATAAAGGTTCTATAAAGAACCATAGAAAAATGTTTTATATAGCCCCGAAAAGAGTTGTAACAATACACTGTAAAAAATTTAACTTTTTTTATGGTAACTTACTGGCAGCCAGGAACCTGTAAGTTACTATAAAAAAAGTATAGTATGTTACCATAAATTCCAAAGAAACTGCTTTAACAGTACATTGCTGTAAAGATGTGCCGGTTTTGTTTTCTTTACAGGTTTTACAGTGTAGCAGAGTCCTTTTTTGGTGCTATATACTACCTTTAATTAATGGTTCTTTATAGAACCTTAGGAAAGGGTTCTTTATAGCACCATAAGGTTCCATTAAGTACCTTATGAGCATGGTTCTTTATAGAACCTTCAAAAAAGGGTTCTACAGTATATAGTGCCGAAAAGGGATGCGCTATGGTTACAAGCCAAAGAACCCTTATTTGGCACTATATAGAAACGTCAGCAGAGTGCGTGTGTGCGTGTGTGTGTGTGTGTGCGTGTGTGTGCGTGTGTGCGTGTGTGCGCCAGGGCTCAGGGGGAGTCGTTCCAATCAAAACAAATGGATTATTACTTCTATCACAAAATACAATGCAATTTTACCCAGAATGCAACTCCTCTCTAACAAGGTCATCCACTTAGAGTTTACTGTGCATGTGGGTGTGTTGTATGTGTTTGCTCTCATATGTGTATTGTCATTTCACAGGTCATTGGCTGCAGAGGAGCTCTCTTTCAGGGGTAAACCCTGCTGCTAAACAGCTAGAAAAAGAACACTGTAGTGGTCCTTGGTCTGGATACTGTTGACTAGGGATGGGCAACTTTGATGGGGGGTGGGAGCCACAAGAAATTTGAACTCATCATGGGGGCCGCAGTGGCTCGTGGGTCTGTGTAGGCACGTCCAGACCCACACATAAAGTCAGAGCAGGCCCTAGCTTTTGGGGGCCCTAAGTGACATTTTGTTGCAAGCAAAACATTTTAGCGGCCCCCCTTTTTGACAGCGTAGAGAAAAAATGTCCTACAATTCCACACATTTCGCCAAGGGACATAGAGAAAATGTTTTAGTTTTAAAGCATGTTTGCTGAAATTCTACACATTTTGCCATGGGGCGGAGACAAGCATTAGCAATTTTCTAAGTCATTTCATGCAAATCTACTCATTCTACTCTACTCATAACCCAAAATGTTACTTGGACTTATTGCACCCATTACTGAAATGGTTATTCCAGTTTCGATAATTAGGTATTAGAATGACCCTGGCAATTCTGGCCCCCCTACCTCTGCGGAAGCACAGTTCCCGCATAGCCCAGTCAAAACTGTTCGCTGCTCTGGCACCCCAATGGTGGAACAAGCTCCCTCACAACGCCAGGACAGCGGAGTCACTCACCACCTTCCAGAGACACTTCAAACCCCACCTCTTTAAGGAATACCTGGGATAGGATAAAGTAATCCTTCTACCCCCCCCCCCCCCCCCCCCATACCCCACCAAAAAAACAAATAAGGTGAATGCACCAATTTGTAAGTCGCTCTGGATAAGAGCGTCTGCTAAATGACGTAAATGTAAATGTAAATGTTATTTCATAAGGCCTTATTTTGAGGGCGTAGTTTTACCCTAATACAGGGGCCTGAAAACTTCAACTCTAACTAACTGATTGGATTAGTTTAGAAACATTTATATTATGTATATTTGTGTAGCATAAGATTAATCAATCAGTGTACATGCAAAAACATAGATACTGAAACAAACAATTCTGAAAATCAACCTGCAATAGAGCATGCTGGGAAATATGATAATGATAAGTGTGGTTTTTGGTTTAAAGTGACATGTTTGAGTTTCAGGCCCCTGTATTAGGGTAAAACTAGGCCCTGAAAATAAGGCCTTATGAAATATGTATGGTACTGTGTAAAAAATAAAATGACATATTCACTTAGGTTGTCACGTAGTGAAGTCCTCCGGACTGAAAATGGATGAATGCAACAAGCATGTCTCTGTCACTAACAAATACAGTCATGGGTGGTAACTCTACAATTTACTCGAAAGGCAAAGCACTCTGGGAGATATTTGAATAAGGCTTTACACTAAGCAGTGTGTTAATTTAACAATGTCCTGGTGTCTATAGGGGTCCACAGACTCAACACTTTCAGTGTTGATTTAACACTGTCAGTCTTGTTGTTTTTGTAACACTGGAGAATTTGCTGTGCACACACACACGTAATAGATAGAAGCTCCTCTGACTTGGAGAAGGAAACATTGTCTTAGCCGTGCTGCAACGTGTGTGTGTGTGTGTTTGTGTATGTGTGTGTGTGTGTGTGTGTGTGTGTGTGTGCGTGCGTGCGTATTAGTGTGTGTCTGCTGCAGCACTGCACTGCTCGGCACCTGGCTCACAGAGTGCGAGAAGTGTGCAGAGAGAAAGAGAGAGAGGTGTACGAGAGAAAGAAAAAGAGAGAGAAACAGAGGATGGATGAAGCGAGAGTGAGAGGTATAGAGTCCTCTGTAGCTCAGTTGGTAGAGCATGGCGCTTGTAACGCCAGGGTAGTGGGTTCGATCCCCGGGACCACCCATACATAAAAATGTATGCGCACATGACTGTAAGTCGCTTTGGATAAAAGCATCTGCTAAATGACATATTATTAGGTATAGAGAGAGGTAGAGAGAGAAAGTGAGAGTACTTATATCCAATCAACTGTATGCTATGGAGCATGTGCTTTTGTATGTGAAATAGATATATCATTTGACTGGTTTTGTGCTGGATTTGCTCGTGCATTTTCTCTCCATCCCCCTCCCTCTATCTAGTCTTCTCTCCATCCTCCCTCCCTCTATCTAGTTCTCTCCATCCTCCCTCCCCTATCTAGTTCTCTCCATCCATCCTCCCTCCCTCTATCTAGTTGTCTCTCCATCCTCCCTCCCCTATCTAGTTCTCTCCATCCTCCCTCCCTCTATCTAGTTGTCTCTCCATCCTCCCTCCCTCTATCTAGTTCTCTCCATCCCCCCTCCCTCTATCTAGTTGTCTCTCCATCCTCCCTCCCCTATCTAGTTCTCTCCATCCTCCCTCCCTCTATCTAGTTGTCTCTCCATCCTCCCTCCCTCTATCTAGTTCTCTCCATCCCCCCCTCCCTCTATCTAGTTGTCTCTCCATCCTCCCTCCCCTATCTAGTTCTCTCCATCCTCCCTCCCTCTATCTAGTTGTCTCTCCATCCTCCCTCCCTCTATCTAGTTCTCTCCATCCCCCCTCCCTCTATCTAGTTGTCTCTCCATCCTCCCTCCCCTATCTAGTTCTCTCCATCCTCCCTCCCTCTATCTAGTTGTCTCTCCATCCTCCCTCCCTCTATCTAGTTCTCTCCATCCCCCCTCCCTCTATCTAGTTGTCTCTCCATCCTCCCTCCCTCTATCTAGTTGTCTCTCCATCCTCCCTCCCTCTATCTAGTTGTCTCTCCATCCTCCCTCCCTCTATCTAGTTCTCTCCATCCTTCCTCCCTCTATCTAGTTCTCTCCATCCATCCTCCCTCCCTCTATCTAGTTCTCTCCATCCTCCCTCCCCTATCTAGTTCTCTCCATCCTCCCTCCCCTATCTAGTTCTCTCCATCCATCCTCCCTCCCTCTATCTAGTTCTCTCCATCCATCCTCCCTCCCTCTATCTAGTCTTCTCTCCATCCTCCCTCCCTCTATCTAGTTGTCTCTCCACCCCCCTCCCTCTATCTAGTTGTCTCTCCAACCTCCCTCCCTCTATCTAGTTCTCTCCATCCTTCCTCCCTCTATCTAGTTCTCTCCATCCATCCTCCCTCCCTCTATCTAGTTCTCTCCATCCTCCCTCCCCTATCTAGTTCTCTCCATCCTCCCTCCCCTATCTAGTTCTCTCCATCCATCCTCCCTCCCTCTATCTAGTTCTCTCCATCCATCCTCCCTCCCTCTATCTAGTCTTCTCTCCATCCTCCTTCCCTCTATCTAGTTGTCTCTCCAACCTCCCTCCCTCTATCTAGTTCTCTCCATCCTTCCTCCCTCTATCTAGTTTTCTCTCCATCCCCCCTCCCTCTATCTAGTTTTCTCTCCATCCCCCCTCCCTCTATCTAGTTTTATCTCCATCCCCCTCCCTCTATCTAGTTCTCTCCTTCCCTCCCTTTTCCTTTCCCTGTATCCAGCTGGTTGCATAACGACTATTTAATCAGCCTAGGAATGTATAATACTGTGATGTCAGGGAGAGAGACAGAGAGAGAGAGAGAGAGAGAGAGACAGAGAGAGAGGGGGGTTGGAGAGAGAGACAGAGAGAGAGAGACAGAGAGAGAGAGACAGAGAGACAGAGAGAGAGAGACAGAGAGAGACCGAGAGAGACCGAGAGAGACCGAGAGAGAGAGACCGAGAGAGACAGAGAGAGAGAGAGAGAGAGAGAGAGACAGAAGAGAGAGATAAGAGAGAGAGAAGAGAGAGGAGAGAGAGAGAGAGAGGAGAGCTAGAGAGAGAGGGGCGCTCGTGAGGGGTTGATCTCGCGCTCGTCTCTTGCTGCTTCAGATCTCTCTCTCTCTGGGCGCTCTCTCTCTCTCTCTCTCTCTTTTCGCTATCCTCGCTCCCCTCCTCTCTCTCTCTCTCCTCTTCCTCCCTCGCGCTCCGTCGCCTCTCTTCTCTCGTCTGTCTTCGCTCCCCCCCTCTCTCTCTGTTTGCTCTCTCTTCTCTCTCTCGCTTCGATCTCTCCTCTCTCTCGATCTCTCTCGCTTTTTGTTTGCTCGTTCTCTGCTCTGTACCTCTCTTTTCGCTCTCTATCTAGCTTGCCTCGCCCGCAGAGGAAACTATAATGCTTGAAGATTACAACAGATTTCTGTTGAATGCACTCATTAACACAGTAGTTCCTAGGTTACGTTTACATAGTATATCACAAAACAGATGCCTCAATTGCAGTGATTGTAATATATTGATGTGTTGTGGTGTCTTCCTGTCCTCAGGTTCAAAGACAAAGGAGGGAATGGACGCAGGAGTAAACATAGGTAAGACACACGCGCACACACACACACACATACACATTATTTTGGGATCTGATTGGTTGATTGATTGATTGATAAATTGATCTCTGTGTGTCAGTTGCTAACCGCGACCAGGCGAACATCGTCGGGGACCCCACTGCTGCCGGAGCTGACCTCTTACAGGGAGGCATGGAGAATACCGGACAAGGGGTGAGTTACCATGACAACAGATTTAAAAAAAGATTGATTGATGAATTATTAGTGACTGACAGGTCAATGTGAATAAGAATATACAAATGATCAATTAACACAATAACCGGTAAGGAATGGCAGAATTCCATTGACATAATACTAGACACAGTAACTTGACCTTATCAATCAGGTAGCCTCTGAAAGCCCAGGCTTCTGGCCTCGCAAGACTATCAGTCAGGTGACACAGCACCCTTTTGAAAGGATTACAACAGAATGAGAAATACAAGGTCGAGTAACAACAAGGTTGAGTAACAACAAGGTCGAGTAACAACATGATTGAGTAACATGATTGAGTAACAACATGATTGCAGACTCAAAAAGCATAACAGTCTCCACATCCTTCAGTCAGTGTCAGACAGTAGCACCGTGCTGATGCCACAAGAGCAGTCTGCTGTTTGACCAGTTGGTGACGCTATTTCCCACAGTACAGCTGCTCTGATAGATAGACGGACGGGTGGACAGACGGACAGACAGACAGACAGACAGACAGACAGGAGAATGGCAGCTCCTTTAATAGCCAGTGGTTCAGAAGTTCAGGCAGATTAGGTTTGATGGTAGACCTATAACTCACTCCACATTCCCAATATGAATATGTGTTGGTGTTGTGTTGGTGTTGTGTTGGTGTTGTGTTGTTGTTGTGTTGGTGTTAGTGTTGTGTTGTGTTGTGTTGGTGTTGTGTTGGTGTTGTGTTGGTGTTGTGTTGTTGTTGTGTTGGTGTTGGTGTTGGTGTTGGTGTTGTGCTGTGTTGGTGTTGGTGTTGTGTTGGTGTTGTGTTGGTGTTGTGTTGTTGTTGTGTTGTTGTTGTTGTGTTGGTGTTGTGTTGGTGTTGTGTTGCTAACCCTTTGTTGTTGTTGTGTTTGTTTCCTCTATGTTCCGTTGGTAGGAGGAGCCTCAGCCTGTGTACGAGGTGCCTATTGGACAGGAGAGGGAAGGGGGGGGATCAGATGTTATAGCTTGTGTTGGGGTGGCTGGCTAGTGAATGCTGCATGATTCAGCCTAACATATAGTTCCTAAGTGCATATATGAAGGGCGAATGAGCTTTCAAACACTGACTGGCTAGCGTGCTGTTAGGACCTGAAGTTATATTCTAAATCTCTCCATAACCCTCTCCTAACTCTCTCCATAACCATCTCTAACCATGCTCTATCTACAGATAATAACACAATTTAAGACTGTCTCTATGCATCTCTGGCGTAGCATAGGCATACACTTACCCTGCATGGGATCTCTCTGGTCTAAGATGCACAGTAAAAATAACAGTTTGCTCCTATACCGTGTTAACCGCTGCCTACAACAAATAATGCCTTTGGTTGGCTGGGGGCAACACTACTTCAGGTCTCAAGGAGGGTGACATCACATCTACTATGCTAGCTATGACGTGCTAACCTCTGCTTCCTTAGACACTTCAGCCCAGAGACTGGGACTGAATGGCCCTGTGTCGTACTCAACCCTATCATAAGCCTGTCATATGCATGACATAAGGAATAATGTGCTTGATGTAGCTGTGACCTACTGCGTTTGAAGCCAGGGCGTCTGTATGCCGCAAGATTGTGCTAGCCCAGTGAGCTAAAGCCTAGGTACCAGGTCTGGGAGCTAACAGAAGTCTTCAGATCTCAGGCAAGGTTACTCTAATGTAAAATATCTCTCTCTGTAGGCGGAATATGGAGGAATGGAGCAGGGAGGAGAAGGAGGACAGGTAAGTGACAACAACCACACTATTTATGTTACTTTCTTTATGCATAAGATGGTGATATCATGACATGATTATTGATACTCTCGTCTTTCTTTCTTTCTTCCTTTCTTTCTTTCTCTTTTTTCTCTCAGGGCTCTCAGGGCGGCTACTAGTCATTCCAGGGACCTCTTCTCCCCAGCCCTCCGTTGGGACCTCTTCTCCCCAGCCCTCCGTTGGTACCTCGCTCCCCTCGCCCTGCTGTTCCAGACTTCCAGATGTTCTACTTATTTTTTTGTGACTTTATGGAACCAAAACAGATACAGACTCTTCCAGATAACCCCTTTACCCCCTGATACCCCATGAGACCCTCTTTGCCCCTAGCAGCCCCCTTCTGCCCCCCCCCCTCCTGTGTTCTGCCCTCTGTAGCTCCCCGCCTTTGTGTCGTTGTTGTCATGTTGTTACCCCTAGTGTTATGTTCTCCCTATCAAGAGACCTGCGCACACACATGCACACGCACACACACACACGCAGACACACACACACAAATACACAAATGCACACACGCACACACACAAGAGCAGCCAGATCACTAGAAGTAGACGTCGATTTCAGACGTTTGAAATGGTCCAAAGTATGTCGACATATATGCCTTTGTCGGCGCTCACCCAAAAAAAGAAGAATGATTGACCAGAAATGGTGATGCTCAGAGCCGGAGCGTGCTGTTTAGACCTCTATGCCACCACAATTCACTATGTTCTAGCAAGCCGCGGAATCAATGCGGCACAAATAGACGTTCATCCGTAATACGTCGAAATTCGAAGGGAAACTCCAGCCAGCAGACAGCTGTGATGATTATTCAGGATGACAGAACCACACAGAGATCATATCTGATTGTAGTTTGGATGTGTGTGCTTGTGTGTTAGACTCGTCAGGTAGTAGGCCAGTTCAGGAATGTTCTGTCCATAAGAGGCTGCAGTAGGGACCCGTGCAATGAACAGAGAGTGTGTGTGTGTGTGTGTGCATTTGTTTGGGTATGTGTGTGGTTAGACTGAGTTTGGCCATACATGTAACAGGGTCATATGTCTTGAGACATGCCAGAAAGCAATACACATGCTCTGTTTATGTGTGTCTCCTTGTTAGAAATGACTTAGTCTGGGAGGAAGAAAGCTCCTGCCAAGACTGGAAATCACACAACAACAGAAGCTATCAATATACGTAATACACTACAGTGGATTTGGTCTAGAAAGGTTTAGTCTGGGTCTAGATCTGGCCTGGCTCTGCTGGCAGGGTTGGAAGGGATAAATGCAGACAGCGATACCTGTGGATTCTGATGTTGCGTAGGGAAAATACCTTGTTGTCATAGTAATACCACCAAGCAATAGTCAGACAGACAGGGGGTTGTGGTAGAAGAGCATCCCACACAGGGAATGCTGGGAAATGTATTTAAAATTTCAGACAAAAAGAGTCAATGTTCTACTGTCATTGGTCAGCTGCTCCTGTTGTCAGCCATCTCAGCCACTCAGAACAGACAGAGTGTGTGTGCGTGTGTGTGTGTATTACATAGACAGCAGGTCAGTCCAGCATCAGTGTGTATATTACAGAGCAGGTGTGTGTGTGTGTGTGTGTGTGTGTGTGTGTGTGTGTGTGTGTGTGTGTTATTTCTTTGCGGCCAATGGAAACTGATGACTGCATGTTGCCTTATTCAGCACTCATTCAGACACCATACACACACACACACACACACACACACACACAGCACACACCCACACACACGTACCCGCACAAACCCACAATACACACACACAGAACACTCATAAAGCACACAAACAAAAACACAAACACACCACGTTTAAGTTGGCATCGAAGCGGACTTGCTGATTTTATAAACAGTGAATTAAAGACGGTTTTGTTGAAATCCAAACTTCTGTGTCGTCTTCATTTCTCCATTTGAGTAACTAATTATTATGCCGTTTATAACAGTATGAATGGCCTATGTTACCATGGAGATACTGTGGTTGAATTGATTTTTTGGGGGGTAACAGACATCACTTGAAAGTATTCATTAAAACGCTTGTTTCCAAAGTGGTCCTCCATGGTAAAAACAATAACACAAATAATGACTAAAAAGCTAGACAAATTTGACAAACAACCATAAATACATGCATTTATATTGACATCCTAAAAAATGGCACTATTCACTGCACTTTTCCAAAACCTTAAAAATCAACCATATTAATTTCACATTAAAACAATCTATTCATTGCACATCATACCTATCATTCAAATAAATACACCTGATCAGCAGTAGGGGGCGCAAGTGGCAGTGGGGTGGTTTCTCTTACTTAGACAACCTTGTCCTAATGAAAACCTTTGCCTGCTTTTTAAAGCTATTTCTACTTTTCCTTTGCTTGATCTCTGTTTAGCGCAGCAGTTTTTGTGACAAAACTATTGGTAGAGTGGAAGATGCGATCGAAACACATTGAACTTCGGATTTGTACTCGGTACATGAAAACATGTTGTTATTGTTTGTGCGTTATGTCGTCACGCACTGATTTTTTTGGCAGGAAGTCAGTTTGGTGGAAAAACGCCACTGGTGGGGAAAATGCACATATTTTAATTCATTCGGGAGTATTCGCACGAAGATCTGTCCCCAAATGGATGGAAACCTAGCTACTGGGATAATAATGTAGAAAACACAGTTGGCCAAAATCATACAGCCAAGTTTGCGCCACGTCTTACCAATATCTTCCCTGGCCTAAATGCTACTATAATTCTTACTTTGTGCCTTTTTTAAAAAGATGCTTGATGAAAGATCTTTGTTGTCGTAACCAACGTTCCATCTAAACTCCGCGTATGTGTGGGTGCATAGCTCCCCCGGGACTGCCAACTTTCTGGAGTTTTCCCAGTTAGTTAACACCGATCAACGTTTCCCTTTACTGTAGAAATTGTGATGAAATCAACACAATATTAGCTACTTTCAATGCGACATACCGAAACAAAACAAACTATGCAAGACTTAGTATGCAAAATGAACTATGCAATAGATTCTGTTGTAGTCAGAATGCATAGTCCCTGTAGCTCAGTTGGTAGAGCATGGTGCTTGCAATGCCAGGGTTGTGGGTTCATTTCCCACGGGGGGGCCAGTATGAAAAATGTATGCACTCACTAACTGTAAGTCGCTCTGGATAAGAGTGTCTGCTAAATGACTAAAATGTACAAAATGGAAGGCTATTCCATAGACAAATGCCTGTATAGAAAAACGTGCTCCTCGCAGTACTGTTTCCTCTTGGGATTTCACAAGACATAAACTAGCTCTGGTATTGTAACTGTGCTGGTTATAGACCATATCAATGTGGTTTTTCATATAACCTGGGGCCCGATCATTTAAGGTGTCGCACATATGATTAAGTTTAAGTTGGTCCACTCTGGACTCCAAAGGCAACAAGCCCACCTCCCAGAACTCCTGTACCCCTATGTGGGTCCTAGGGGGGACATTCAGCATATACCTGATAACATTATGTTGCATGACCTGCATTCTCTTTTTCAGCTTCTTTGATAGCCCACTATACCAAGCAGAACAGGCATAATCAAAATGACACTGAATCAAGGTTGAGACAAGCAGTTTCTTAACTTTGATGTTAAAATATCTAGTGTTACGATAAAACATTTTTAATTTGTTCGCCATTTTATAAAGAATTTTAGCAGCAATCAGGTCTCCAGTAAGGGATTGATCTAGGGACAAACCAAGATAAATGACACTTGTTTTAGATTCAATCTCCTTGCCTGAACAGTTAACCTTTATCTTGTCAGCCCTAAGCAATCTATGTTTTGTTCCAAACAAAATCGATTCAATTTGTTGTCGGTCAACCAATCTCTAACTAAATGCAATTTCTTACTCAGGGTCTCCTCTATGCAAACTGTATCCTTCCCTGATACCAGTATGGCTGAGTCATCAGCATAAAGCAGGAGTTCACACTTTACTGTCCCTTAGACCACTGCGCCACTCGGTCTCCCGCCACTCGGCGCAGTGGTCTAAGGCACTGCATCGCAGTGCTAGCTGTGCCACTAGAGATCCTGGTTCGAATCCAGGCTCTGCTGTAGCCGGCCGCAACCGGGAGACCAATGGGGCGGCGCACAATTGGCCCAGCGTCGTCCAGGGTAGGGGAGGGAATGGCCGGCAGGGATGTAGCTCAGTTGGTAGTTTGCAATGCCAGGGTTGTGGGTTCGATTCCCACGGGGTGCCAGTATGAAAAATAAATTTAAAAAAAGAATAACGTATGCACTAACTGTAAGTCGCTCTGGATAAGAGCGTCTGCTAAATGACGTAAAATGTAAATGTACTGTATCTGGCATATCATTAACATATATATTAAATAAGAGAGGTCCTAAAAGAAGCAAAAAAACAACCTAGAACCTCTAGTGTCAGTGTTCTAGAACTCCCAGTCTTAGTGTTTTAATGATCCTCCAGGATGACATATCACCAGCCCAATGTTCCATTCTAACCACGAGAGAGAAAAGTTCCTAACTGCTCCACCCCACACACTCTGATCCAACGCCAGAACACATTTAAACAGAGGAGTGTCTTGCCAGGGGTGGAATGGAGACACACACAGCCAACACCCCTAAGGAATCCACTCAAACACAGAGTAACAATCTAGGGCCAAAAACACAATGAGAGAGGGCTGTCGTAGTAAGGCCTGCGTGCCATGTCGAATTTGGCTCGGCCCATCTGTCTTTGTGTCCGTTGTTATAGCGGAGCTGTTTTGACGGTGAGTCAGAAAGCTTGGTAACCTCTCAGGACATCACATCCATTATTTCCTGTTTCCATTGCATCTCTATATCAGATAAATGCATCTACAGATGTAGGATCATAATTTGAGCCAGTTTACTACAACAGGAAAATAATCCTGAAGCAACAGTAAATGTGAATTATTAAATACCGTAGAGAGGGAGAGGCCTCATAACTTTAGTAGGATCCTCAATTAAACATTGTTAGAACAAATATGATATACATGCAGCACGTAACCACACAACTCTTTCAGGCCATTATGTGAAGATGTCCATGATACAGTACATTATTACAGATGTTTATAAATGTTTATATTTTACATTTATTTTTATTTTTAATTAACCAGTTAAAAACATACACATACGAACAACAACTTAGAGACGCACATAAACAACGACTACATCTCATCTGCCCAGACCAACATGCTCACACCTCCATCCCTATTGCCTGCATTATTGTTTGCCACATGGCCTTAAATTGTTCCAGTTTGTTTTTCTCAGTTGCCCATGGAAAAAATGAAGTCTGGCATTTCTAAGTGGAAATTACAAACTTCAGAAGCCTTTTCAAACCTCAAATACACTACATATCAAACATTTCCTGCATTGCAGGAAAGTTATCCTGCAACAGGGTGATCAGATTAAGATCCTACATCTGTAATAATGTACTGTATCATGAACATCTTCACATAATGGCCTGAAAGAGTTGTGTGGTTACGTGCTGCATGTATCTGTATATCATATTTGTTCTAACAATGTTTAATTAAGGTTCCTACTAAAGTTATGAGGCCTCGCCCTCTCTACGGTATTTACAGTTCCACTGCTGGGATTTTCCACTGACAACCTGTTTTCATACTGACATCAACAATAGCGGCCTGCATCCTTAGGGGTGTGTGATGGAGGAGTGGCCTCTGTAAACCTCTATGCCAACCTCATATAAACCCATGCACTCACACACACACACACACACATCCACACTCTCTCACACACACACTCTCACACACACTCCGGCCAAGTACAGAACACACACAGAGATGGACTTTATGAAAGGATCAGGGAAACAGGTGGATGCGGTCATCGACAAAGCAGGTGAGAAAAATATGTCTATAAGAAAAGTGGATAATGGTGTTTATTTACGTGGTTGATTGATGGGAGTCATTCATGTGGAGCATTAATAGTTTAAACCCAACATCACAGCAAAATGGGTTGTTATATGCATTAATGTACAGTTTGGCTTTAATTTAGTCTAAATGTTTGTGTTATCAGCCTTCAAAATGTTCAAACTGGGCTTTGGAATTTTAAACGGCGCTTCAGTTGATGAGTCAACTACATTCTTAACCAAATATGTTCATTTTTGAAAACCTTTTTGGCACTGTTCATATTTCTAAAATTACAGTTAGTTGGGTTTGTCTAGATTTAAAAGTATAGGAGCTAATTTCTACCAGAAAGGGAAAAATAAGCAAAGATTCTGTGGCATCATGTCATGACAGTTCTTGTGGTTACAAGCTCCCTAACAAGACATAACAAGATCAAAACTCCACCAAATATCTCATCATGACGAGACAGAAGGTGTGAGTGCATGATTGACAGCCCCTCCTTTCTCTCTCTCTCTCTCTCTGTCTAGCTGTTGTGGTGAAGGAGAAGGTGGGAGAGATGATCGGAGGAGGAGTAAAGGAGGAGAAGAAAGATGAAGGTGATCTGTCTATTCTGGGTTACCATGGAAACTAAGTCACACAACCACACTACCTACACACAATTCATTTCACACACAAGCTACGCAACACAATACAAACCAATTCAGTTTCTCCCTCTTGTAGAGTAACGAATCACTTCAGCTCTATTCATTGCATTTCTATCGGCAACATTCAGTATGTTGCAGCCTGCTTAAAAGTGACACTGGTGTAAGAAATATAATGGTAGTGTGTTGCAGTCCGATGTCTTTGTATGTACAGTATTGTTGAAATGGTGTCTGATGTTGTGGATGTTCCTCCAGGTATTGGTGGCATGGTGTCTGATGCGGTGAAAGGGGTTGTAGCAGACAAGGCCACGGACAGTGCTGCAGACAAGGCCATGTCTTTCGGAAAGAACCTTTTCAAATGATCGTTGTCGTCCCCCAACCCTTCCTTCCTATCAACCAACCCCAACTCTGTACTGTCACTGGGATCTGTATAACGTTAATAGGATGTCATAAACATGAATAAAACACCTTTCTTTCACCACTAGTCTCTGTATGTCACATACTGCACTTCCACATCACAGTCAAGCCACAGTTGTCTGAATTTTATTGGTTTTCAACAACAACAAAGGCAATACACATTTCCCCAAACAATTTCCATGCAAGGGCTTGGACGGCTTTTTGGAGAAGGAGAACGCTTGTTCCCATGATCCTCTCCTCTCTCTCTCACTCAGGGTGGAGCGGAGGGTTTGGGGGAGGGTCAGATTGGACAAGATAGGAGAAGAAGGTAGGGAATGTTGGGGGGCCTGATATAGTGGAGAAGGGTATAGAACTTTACTAAGAACCAAACCCAGTAGAACCCAGTGTTCCTCAGCACAGAACCCTAACCCTGAGCCCTAACCTCTAACCCCTCTGTGAGGAGAACTGAGGAACACATGATATCCCCATTCCCTGATATAAAGTTAGAGTTTAAAACTATTTCTAAAGTTAACTTCAGTATAGAGCTCTGTCAGAGCTAAGGCAACTTCAGTGCTGTGGTCTGAAACCATGGTCAAACAAGACAAAATGGCCAACAGGGAACTCTGATAAGGGGGGGGGGTCTTAAATCTCTCTCAGCGTAGCTATCTTCCTGCTACAATCTGCTCCTTTCACAATACACAAACAACTGAACGACGATATTGAAACAGAACGACACAGAAATACTGCGTTACGGACGTGATACTTGGAAATATGGCGAGGTCATGGGACACAGTACGTGTCAGTGTGTTTGTATAAAGGGGAGGCGGGGGTCTCTAATGTAAATGCTGAACCGATAGCAGGGTGTTGTGGAAGTGGTCTGGCTGTGATAGGTCGATTATGTGACGGTGATGCCGGCCTCGTTGTAGACCTTGAACACCTTCTCGATGGCGTTGACGTACGCAGCCGTCCGCAGGTCCAGACCCAGGTTGTACTTACTGGCCGTACGCATGATTTGCTGCAGGGGGAGAAAACACACAAGAATTAGACTCACCAGACCGGGTCACACACACACACACACACTTACCCTACACACACACACACACACTTACCCTGGCAGATCTCTCCATGGTGTAGGCAAGCCCAGAGTGGACAATGTCCTTCTCAGAAGCACCCTGTAGAGAAGAGGACAGATGTTATCGAACTACCAACAAACGACTTTGTTTGTATCATCACCCACCACGTAGGTTTACATGTGTATAGATATTCCCCAACCCCCTGTATGCATATGGTTGACTGTGTGTGTGTGTGTGTGTGTGTGTGTGTGTGTGTGTGTGTGTGTCCACTCACAGCGACTCTGGCCTGGAAGTCAGCAGTTGGGACAACAGGGATTGGTCCTCCCTGCTTTCCAAACTTCCTCTCCAAACTCTCCTGAACGGACACTGAGAGAAAGAGAGTACTTGAAGGTAAGCTACTGAAGCAAGGTATTATAAGGGGAGACTGTGAAAGGTTAGAGGTCAGGAATCAGGATTTACTGAGGAGGTGGTAGTTGGAATCTCTCTCGTATTTGAAGGTGAGTCTCCCATAGCTGACGTGGTTCAAGTTCTTCAGCCACTCAAAGTATGACACTGTCACACCACCAGCGTTCAGGTACATGTCCTGAGGGAGGGACAAAAAGAGAGAGAAGGGTCAGATGGTTGAGTATGTCCTCCACTTTTTGATTGGTTAATGAGAGAACTCAACCCAGCAAACATGCCCACACAGACACACACACAGTGTGGGCAGCCCTCACCTAGCCTGAAATAAGACCATTTTTTCCCAGCAAACATGATCACATTGGCATGATGTGGGCCCAATGCGGGTTAAAACATTGGACCCATGTAGGGTCCACATTGGGCCGATCCACCTTTGCTATTTAATAGGAATTTATTTAATTGCATACCTTTCAAGCCTTAAAATATATTTAGGGAACGTGTTACATATCAGAGAGACAACCAAGTTGTTACTATCATACATATAGTTTGACAAAATAAACTTATTTAAGTCTTTTTAAAGACTTCATCATCGGCAGTGTACAAGATCAAGAATAATTTGGCCATCACACAACAGAACACTTAAACTAGAACAACATTCTCAGTAACGGTTGCACAAAAAGAACTGTGTGCAAACCACATCCCCAAATATTAGAATGAGCTCCCGCCTCTAGCTGGGCTTTGTGTGGGATTGCTGTGGGCTAGCCTGTGTTGAGCTGGTGTGGGCTTTGTGTGGGATTGCTGTGAGCTAGCCTGTGTTGGGCTGGTGTGGGCTTGGTGTGGGCTTGGTGTGGGCTTGCCTGTGTTGAGCTGGTGTGGGCTTGGTGTGGGCTTGGTGTGGGCTTGCCTGTGTTGAGCTGGTGTGGGCTTGGTGTGGGCTAGCCTGTGTTGAGCTGGTGTGGGCTTGGTGTGGGCTTGGTGTGGGCTTGCCTGTGTTGAGCTGGTGTGGGCTAGCCTGTGTTGAGCTGGTGTGGGCTTGGTGAGGGCTTGGTGTGGGCTAGCCTGAGTTGAGCTGGTGTGGCCTAGCCTGTGTTGAGCTAGCCTGTGTTGAGCTGGTGTGGGCTAGCCTGTGTTGAGCTAGCCTGTGTTGAGCTGGTGTGGGCTAGCCTGTGTTGAGCTGGTGTGGGCTAGCCTGTGTTGGGCTGGTGTGGGCTTGGTGTGGGCTAGCCTGTGTTGAGCTGGTGTGGGCTAGCCTGTGCCCACCTTGCCCGCCAAATACCCACATGGGCCATGTTTGCTGGGTAGATACTGTGAATGTGCGTATGACTGCCTTAACATGCAAGTGTGTGTGTGTGTGTGTGTGGCTCTTCTTACAGGGATGACCATGACGTTGTTCTCAAGGAAGATCTTGTCAGCATCGGGGGTGGTGGGGCCGTTGGCTCCCTCAGCAATGATCTGGAACAAACAACAACAATAAACAACAACAACAACATTGGTTAGAGCAGGGGAATGTGGGTAGAGGAGTTTAGATGGAGGGGTTGTGGGTAGTATAGAAGAAAACATGGGTCGTGTTCGACTGACTGATCTACAAATCACCTTCCATCATATATAACGACTCGTTTTATTTGTAGATCAGTCAGTCAGTCACAATTTACCCATGATACATTGCAGTTTTGATTCTCTCGAACTCGGCCATGGCATCCTTTAGAGGGAAACATGGCATTGTGGGTAATGAAGTACCTTGGCCTTGATCCTGTGGGCGTTGTTTCGTGTGAGCTGCTTCTCGCTGGCGGCAGGGATCAGGATGTGACACGGAGCTTCCAGGAGGCTGCCCTCGTACGGCTTAGCCCCGGGGAAACCTACGATCGTACCGTGTTGCTGCACTCACACACACACACACACACAGGTTAGTACAATGCGAGAGACAGAGGAAGCCTTTCTTGGCCAGCTAGCTCATATTCAGAGAGAGAGCGAGAGAGAAGTGAGACAGAGTTCAAAAGGAGAAAAAGAGAGTATTCTAACCAGTTTGTAGTCCTCCAGCTGCTTGGGGTCGATACCCTCTGGGTTGTAGATGCTGCCGTCATACTCAGCGATGCCCACACACTTAGCACCGTACCTGTGGAGGTACCGCATGGAGTGGAGACCCACATTACCAAAGCCCTGAGAGAGAGAAATTGAGAAATGGAGAGAGAGACAGAGACAGAGAGAGAGAGAGAGAGACAGAGAGACAGAGAGAGAGAGAGAGCGAGAGAGAGAGACAGAGAGAGCGAGAGAGACAGAGAGACAGAGAGAGCGAGACAGAGAGAGCGAGAGAGACAGAGAGAGAGAGAGAGAGAGACAGAGAGAGAGAGAGACAGAGAGAGCGAGAGAGACACAGAGAGAGAGGGAGACAGAGAGCATTATTATCATCATCTTCATCACACACCATTATCATCAGCTCCGCTACAGAGTTCACTAAAGACAATACACTGGGACCCTGGCACCCCCATGTGGCCCACCTATGTCACTGCAGTAGCCTCAGACCCACTGATAACTAGCTAATAAACTGAGACAGCAAATCAGCAGACAGACAGAGAGGATTGAAACCAACCAGGTAGTATAAAATATTATCCAATCTGGTACAGCTGTGAAATATACCTTTAACTATAATGAGTATTGACACATATAATGCTGCAATAGGCCCTTAGCAATAGATGGTTGACAGTCCATTACCCTCTCCTCTCCTCTCCTCCTCTCCTCTCCTCTCCTCTCCTCTCCTCTCCTCTCCTCTCCTCTCCTCTCCTCTCCTCTCCTCTCCTCTCCTCTCCTCTCCTCTCCTCTGCTAGCTACACGATGTCATCACACATCCGTGCATTCGCTAAATCTCCAAGAAAATCTAATTACACAACTACATAATCCAGCCACACACACACGCACACTGTCTGTCTCTGTTTAGTCAGTCTGTCTGTCAGACACCAAGGTGAGATGTTTTTCTTTCTCAAAATGGAATACTCGCTAGTCATCGAATACTAACGTCCGTTCGGATATTCAAATATTCGATTAACCGTGCCCATCAATGTTTCCCCAAAAAGAATTAGGCACTGAGCCGAACACTGACGATGTGCCAGCTTTAAGTTACAGTTTAAGACAGTGGTCAAGTAGGCTACTGTGGCTATTTGATCATAATGTAGGCCTACCAGAGTGGCCTACCATTAAAAACAATGGAGAAAATGCATGCCATAACATTTTAACATGGAAATAGCTGTTCATAATTCAGCCTACAGTTGCAGCCAATGTGTGGTGTTCAATGTAGGCCTACAATCCATGAGACTTTTGAAAAAAAAACATGCAGGGATTGACATTAACCTGTTTATCCACTTGTCCTTCAGACAAGGAGGTAACTGAAAATGTTGTTAATTAATTAATTAATTAATTAATTAATTAATAATAATAATATTAATTAATATGTCATTTAGCAGACGCTTTTATCCAAAGCGACTTACAGTCATGCGTGCATACATTGTTGTGTATGGGTGGTCCTGGGGATCGAACCCACTACCCTGGCGTTACAAGCACCGTGCTCTACCAGCTGAGAAACCACTTAACAAACCACTTAACAAAATAAAATGTATTATTATTCCCATACCATTATTACAGAGAATCAGACAAATTATGACACCCTCTGCCTATTGGCTACTTAGCTTATTTAAGACTGTCCCAAAATATAACATCACCCCTTTAAGACAAAAAAAAGCTCTTTACCCGACTCGCTTTTGAAAGATGTCTAGAAATGTACACGTTTTGTGCTCTTGTAGGAAGCAATCACTCCCCCTTTGTTGACTACAAATGATCTATAACTGGGCTAATAACTCACTAACTAGCAAAGGATATGAACAAAATGTGCACACGTGGCTACATGCAGCTCTCCCGTTGATCTCAAAACAAGCTTGTCTACTCACGACCCTCATGCTGTAAACACAGTCCAGTTCAAAGTGATCCATATATGGCAATGGTCTATTTCTCTGTAGCCCCATGAAGTCAGCTAAAACAAGCTCAATAACTCAATGCATGCACACACTCCTATTCAATAATATGCATTCACCTGTATTGTGAATAAACCTATCCTACATCTTGATTTACCCAGTGTATCAATAGAGATTTACCATTAAAATAAATGTTCGCCATTATGTTGTTTTGTAGTTAAGATTGGTAAAAAACTAAGTCAAAATGATTGTATGATTATATAATTGATTCATTAATGCATACATACTACTGTCTCTAAAGAAATGACAGAAATGTTCAAATGTAATGATATTGAAAGATGCCCAACAACTGAACAGAGCAGTAGCTGAGTTTATCTGTCTGGATCAAGTGCCATTCTGTGACTTTGGCTAATAAGTCTTCTTTGTTGTTGTTGTGGTATCGTTTTGGTATCAAGTTTCGTGATTGTTTGGAGTATCGTGATACTAAACCTGGTATCGGTATCAAAGTCAAAATTCTGGTATCGTGACAACACTATTCACTATAGAGAAAGGGTGATAACTATAGACAGGCTTCTAGGAAGGAGGCTGAGGGCATCTCTGTGTTTGTTGGTTGGTTTGTTTGTGTTTGTGTTTGTGTTTGTGTTTGTGTTTGTGTGTGTGTGTGTGTGTGTGTGTGTGTGTGTGTGTGTGTGTGTGTGTGTGTGTGTGTGTGTGTGTGTGTAAAGGAAGTCTCGTGTGTCAGAGGGAACTGAGAGTCCTGCAGAAAGCGGCACGTTGACCTTTAGTCTGTCTCACACACCGCGGCACAGAGTGGGAACTGGGACCTACAAACCAGTGTAAACCAGATATGTGTGGTGTGATACTGCTGCTGAACCCTGCCACCGTCTCTCTGACGTCACTGACATTCATAGAGAGACGAATACTAACTCAGCCCCACAGATATTTAACTAAGTTCACATCAAAATCTGTTGACCAGATCAGCGTAAAAAACTTTTACGCAATCTTTGGCAAACGTCAGAGTGTGTGTGTGCATGCGTGGCTGTGTGTATGTTTACGTGTGTGTGTGTACCTGGATGATAAAGGTCTTGTCCTGGAAGCCGGGGGTCAGGCCCAGCATGCTCATGTAGGATGCCTCGTTGATGAAGTTCTCAATGCCGTGGAACACTCCGCGACCAGTGGCCGAGATACGCCCATGGATACCTCCCTGGCTGATGGGCTTGCCTGTCACACATGCGTGGGCGTTGATGTCCTGCACACACAGAGAGAGACATGCCCAGAGACACACACACACACACACAGACAGACACACAGACAGACACACAGATACGTTAGAGTGTATGTTTAATTGCATTAGATCTTTTGGCAGTTTGTCAGACTGTGAGATAGAGCCTCTTCAGCATAGTTATGAGATCAGTTGAGGACACATACCGCTCTGGGGCCAGACTACAGAACTACAGTACCCATACTGCCCAGAGTACTGAACTACAGTACCCATATTGCTCTGGGGGCCAGCCAACAAAACTGCAGTACCCATACTACCCTGGAGGCCAGACTACAGCACCCATACTGCTCTGGGTGCCAGAATACAGAACTACAATACCCATACTGCCCTGTGTGCCAGAATACAGAACTACAATACCCATACTGCCCTGGGTGCAAGAATACAGAACTACAGCGTATGTGCGTTTGTGTGGTAACTCACGGTGTGTGCGATGGTGTTGGCGTATGTGTCAGCGATCCAGGACATCTCTCTCTCTCCGGTGCTCATGTCAGGAGCAGGAACATCAATACCTGGCCCTGAGGAGGGGAATGGAAGCATTTACACACACCCTACATCAGGGGTCCCCAATTACGATCAGCCGTGGGCCGATGTTTCCTTGAGCGGATAGTCTGGGGGCCGGAACATAGTTATAAAGAACCCATTTTGTACACTGCAAATTGACTGCAAGAATCCCAAACAGATAGTGTTTGACAAAAAGAGAATCATTACAAACCTTGATTACATTGGAATACGATCACATATGCATCTCGATTTATGCGTGGGAATACTTGGGAACAGATTTCCTAAATTAAAATCACTTTGAGCTGATTTCCTGGTGACTTCAGTCTTATGTCCAACAACATATTATTTTATATATATATATATATATTATTTTGCTCAGAAATCCTTATTTCTCTCTCTTTCCCGCACGCAAACACACACTAGACAGGTTTGAGATAAAGTTATTAGCAATTAAATATCTATACTTCTACCCATTCTAAATATAGACAGTGGCTGACTGGAGGTCTCAGAATGCCCACTCTACCCTGGTGGCATAGAGAGACGTGTAAATGCCAGACTCTCTCCCTCTCTGTGGTATAAACAGGGTGGTATGTAGCGAGGGACATTCTCATGTGTTAACTGGGCCCCAACACCAAGAAGACGCATCCAAAAACAGAACTGGACAGAGGGAGGGAGGAGAAGGGGTGAGGAAATGGGGAGGACCTGACTGACTGAAAGAGGGGTCTACTATCCACGTCACCATTATTACGCATAAGCTTTTCCACTGCAACACCAGTGTTCCACTTAAGCAATAAGGCCCAAGGGTGTGGTATATGGCCAATATACCACGGTTAAGGGCTGTTCTTATGAACGACGCAACGCGGAGTGCCTGGACACAGCCCTTAGCCGTGGTATATTGGCCATATACCACACCCTTGGGCCTTATTGCTATTATAAACTGGTTACCAATGTAATTAGAGCAGTAAAAATAAATATTTTGTCATACCCGTGGTACACGGACTGATTTACCAGGGCTGTCAGCCAATCAGCATTCAGGGCTCGAACCACCCAGTCTATAATAGTGCATACACTATGATGGCTGACACTGAGGACTTGTGAAGAGCAGAATCAACAACCTCTGCAGAATCAAAACAGTTGCTTTGTGAGAAGGTGTTAAAGTTCACAGTTGGCCATTCTTATGTAAACGAAAGCTGAAAAGTACCAGTGGCCTGGCTTTGGCCCCGATTCAGAGCAGGACCGTCGGAGCCACAGCCCAGTGAGACAAAAGGCTCAGAAAAGTGTGAGACTTTTGGGTACAACACTGGGGTAAAACACTGCGGTAAATCACTGGGGTAAAACACTGCGGTAAATCACTGGGGTAAATCCTGTCTTCTATGTGTTTTGAGTTAACACATCGTCATTAGCATTCAGGATCATAGGGGACAACTGGCTACATGAAGGACACACTTACCAATAAAGCCTTTCTTGGCCAGCTCAATGGTGAACCTCCTAGTAATCTTCTCCAATTCATTGTCCTGGAGAGAGAGACAGAGAGAGAGAAAGAGAGAGAGACAGATAAAGATAAATGATTGTTCACAATGTGCATGAGGAGAGAGAGGTGGGGGGGGAGAAAGGTTTCCTGTGTGTCTGCCAGCTAACAGCTAAGGAGAGAAAGGTGGGGTGGGAGAAAGGTTTCCTGTGTGTCTGCCAGCTAACAGCTAAGCAGAGAGAGGTGAGGTGGGAGAAAGGTTTCCTGTGTGTCTGCCAGCTAACAGCTAAGGAGAGAGAGGTGGGGTGGGAGAAAGGTTTCCTGTGTGTCTGCCAGCTAACAGCTAAGGAGAGAGAGGTGGGGTAGGAGAAAGGTTTCCTGTGTGTCTGCCAGCTAACAGCTAAGGAGAGAGAGGTGAGGTGGGAGAAAGGTTTCCTGTGTGTCTGCCAGCTAACAGCTAAGGAGAGAGAGGTGGGGTGGGAGAAAGGTTTCCTGTGTGTCTGCCAGCTAACAGCTAAGGAGAGAGAGGTGGGGTGGGAGAAAGGTTTCCTGTGTGTCTGCCAGCTAACAGCTAAGGAGAGAGAGGTGGGGTGGGATAAAGGTTTCCTGTGTGTCTGCCAGCTAACAGCTAAGCATTTCAGCTCCACTCAGCCCTGAAGGGCATACGAGTGTCCCCACCACACACACACACACACACACCCACACACACACACACACACACACACGCACCTACATTTTCTATCTATGACATAATGTAATATTAATGTTGTGACAGATAAACAGATAAGGCTGTAGCAATCAGCCCTAACGCTACAGGATAGGAATAAAGTGTCTGTCTGTTGTTCTGTGGTGAGTTTCTGTGTTGACAGCAGGAGAAAATAGGAAAAGCTGAAAGGATGAGACTGAACCTCTGTCCTTTCCGTCGAGCATAGAAAAAAAAAATCAGCCAGTGTGTGTCTGCATGTGGGTCTGCAAGGGGGTCACTGGAATAGATCATTGATGTGACAGAGAGTAAGATATGCTTCCTGTGCATCAGAGCGTTCCCACAATAAACGCCTACCATGGTGTGTGGGTATGTGTGTGCGTGTCTGTGTGCATGTCTGTGTGCATGTCTGTGTGTGTGTCTGTGTGTGTGTGTGTGTGTGTGTGTGTGTGTGTGTGTGTGTGTGTGTGTGTGTGACGGACTTACAGAGTAATTTTTGACGTTGATCTTGACACCAGCTTTAGCCCCCCCGAATGGTACATCTGGATAGAAAGAACAGCTTACAAACTGGGGCTTAAACACACACACACACAGACTTCATTGATTTGACAACAGCTCTCTGAAAATGCTAATAAAAATCTCTCAGATCAGTGTGTATGTTTGCATGATTTCAGGTGCATTGAATGAATGAGATGTGTGCGGAGAGGAGAGGAGACGGACTTACCGACCACGGCACACTTGTACGTCATCAGAGAGGCCAGAGCCTTCACCTCATCAACAGACACCTCTTCACTGTAACGGATACCTGCACACAGACAGACACAAAGGGAGTTAACACACATAGCCCAACAATACCACACACACACACACACACTAAAGTTGACAGGAAGACAGGCTTTGAGTCTACTCTGTGCCCACCACAGGTACAATATCTGGGGGTTACACTGTGTTGGTGGAGGCTCCCCTGGAGCAGGTGGCTCCTCTACACCAGCAGCGCAGGGAAACAGAGTGTGTGTAATAACTTTGGGCTATATTGGGCCATGTCGCTGTGACTGACGCCTACAGAGAGCCAAGGGCACCGAGCACTGACAGGAGACTGCAGCACTTTAGAGGACGGAGAGAGGGTGTGCATGCATGCGTGCGAGTGTGTGACATCATCTCAAAGCGCCACGGCGTGTACTGAGGCCCAGTCCAGAAACAGCCCCTAGCTAGCCGCTAGCCCCTGCTGCGTTAGCAGGATTGTGTTCAGGAGAGGAGGGCACACATGAGCAAAAACATTTCCCTGTTCCACGCCTTCTAAACATGACCTTTAGAGACAGCCGTGAGAAGCTACAGCTGCTCGAAGGCCTTGACAATGTAGACCCTCCTTTGAACTATAGACACAGGACTGACTGAGCTACAGATGTGGGACCTTCATTTAAGGCCAGTTTACTTTGCTACAGCAGGAAAATTATCCTGCAGCAACAGGGAATGTGAATTAGTATGTGGATTATAATTCATGTACATTTTTGTAGGGGTTGACAGGTTTTTCTTAAGGGAAAATCAAGTCTGAAATTTCAAAGTGGATATTACAAACTTCAGAAGCCTTTTTAAACCTAAAATACACCACAAGTTTTACATGTCCTGTATTGCAGGAAAGTTATCCTGCAACAGGGTGATCAAATTAAGATCCTACATCTGAAGGCTAATTCATTCACTGAACAAAAATAGATTCCTTATACCCCTCCCCTTTCTATCATTAACCCCTCCCCCTTTGATTCTCTTCCTCTTTGCTTCCTCCTCCTCCTCCATCCCCTACTACCGCAGCAGAGGGAAAAAAACATGTTTTGAAACATTCCAATGAAATTAGTCTCTGGGTTGGCTAGCAGACACACAAAAGAAACAAACAGGAGTGTAAGTTATGAATACACACAAAAAAATGGATGAACAAACATTCACAAAAGCAAACCCAATTGCCCAAGAGCACACAGAGCCTTCCATTAATGTCGAGGGAGCCCATAGCGGGTTGTTAGTCACACAGTGGAAAAACCCCCCCACTTTAACTGATTTCAGACTGCACCACAGGCTTCCTCTTCTGCTTGGGAAGGACATGTTGGAAATGTAGCAGACTAAACATTCTTTGAGAGTGAGACACTTCCTGACACTCCCTAACACTGAGTCACGCCTGCACACACCCAGTTCTACGGTGTTCCAGCTAGAGAACGTGAGGTTCTGCAGTATTGTAGTAGAACCAGGTATTCTATATAGAGCAGTGTGGGTCTGTCTGTCTGTCTGTCGTAGCAGCAACAGCCTTTGTGCTTTGTCTACACAGACAGGGAGATAACGCAAGTCTTCAGGTCACGGGCAAGCTCTGTTACATAGCCTACGCTGACAGGATGGCAATACGGCTGGATCACACAGAAAGGGGGGGATGGAAACCGTGAGAAGTATAGCTGAAGTCAGAGAAGGGGGGGATGGAAAGTCTGACTAAGCTGCAGCAAGTGAAAAGAGGGATTTGATCACTTCTCTAAAATGGGTTTGAGGGAAGCATCTGCTCTGGTGGCGTGTGACGGCCTCTGACCTCCTCATGTGAAAGTGATTGCCATCATTATACATCTATACACCACACCAATCAGAAAGTCTACAAAGTATTAACACACAACCAATGTCCAAATCTAGTCTCTGTCTGTCTGTCTGTCAGTACGTGCACTTGATTCAGCTTGCCTGGCACAATGGGTAGTTGGTGAGACTTTGCACTGTAGGACCAGTTGGTTCAGCAAGAAAACAACTCACTGGATGAGCTGAATAAAGTAAGCTACGCTTAGTGAACACTCCTCCCTCCTCCTGTCAAAATGCTGACGAATGGGAACGCCTGGGTACATTACCACCCCTTCCCCTCCACAAACAACTGATCCTCCCTCTCTCGCTCCCCCCTAACTGGAAATATGTCACATCCTGATCCTCACCCAACAAAAAAAACTACAGAGCTGCACAAGCCTTGAACCTTGACATGAACCTCGAACCACATAACCCCCTCCTAAAACAGACGCACCCTGCGGCCCCACCCCCTAACCCCTCCTCCTCACACCCTGCAACCCTACCCTATCCCCTAACCCCTCCTCCTCACACCCTGCGGCCCCACCCCCTAACCCCTCCTCCCCACACCCTATCCCCTAACCCTTCCTCCTCACACCCTGCGGCCCCACCCCCTAACCCCTCCTCCTCACACCCTGCAACCCTACCCTATCCCCTAACCCCTCCTCCTCACACCCTGCAACCCTACCCCACCCCCTAACCCCTCCTCCTCACACCCTGCAACCCTACCCCACCCCCTAACCCCTCCTCCTCACACCCTGCAACCCTACCCTATCCCCTAACCCCTCCTCCTCACACCCTGCAAACCCTACCCCATCCCCTAACCCCTCCTCCTCACACCCTGCAACCCTACCCTATCCCCTAACCCCTCCTCCTCACACCCTGCAACCCTACCCCACCCCCTAACCCTTCCTCCTCACACCCTGCGGCCCCACCCCCTAACCCCTCCTCCCCACACCCTGCGACCCTACCCTACCCTACCCTACCCCTTGCCCAGTGAAATGGCACCTGGTGTCCGTACAAATGGCACATTCTCCCACTAATTACACACACACCGCACTCAATACAGTGTAACACCTGCGTTATAGTAGCCAATGATATGTATTAGCCAATCATTGGTTAAAGCCAACTGTCTACTAGTACCTACACATGGACTATGACAGAGCTGGCTAGCCAACAACAGTCAGTATCAATGTTTGTATCTAGCTTGTAGTTACTGGGAGTGTGCATTGATCAGCGCTACAGGTAGGCTACCACCAACATAAAGTGTCTTAATAGGGCGTTGGGCCACCACAAGCCGCCAGAACAGCTTCAATGCACAATGGCATAGATTATAAGTGTCTGGAACTCTATTGGAAGGATGCGAGACCATTCTTCCACAAGTAATTTTATCATTTGTTGATGGAGGTGGAAAACACCGTCTCAGGTGCCGCTTCAGAATCTCCCATAAGTATTCAATTGGGTTGAGATCCCAGCCAGCCATGGTAGCCAGCCATGGTAGCCAAAACAATGGGCAACTGGGCTTTTTTATACATGACCCTAAGCATGATGGGATGTTAATTGCTTAAATAACTCAGAAACCACACCTGTGTGGAAGCACCTGCTTTCAATATACTTTGTATCCCTCATTTAAGTGTTTATTTTATTTTGGCAGTCCCGTGTAGCTCAGTTGGTAGAGCATGGCGTTTGCAACGCCAGGGTTGTGGGTTTGATTCCCATGGGGGGCCAGTATGACATTTAAAAAAAAATGTTATGTATGCACTCACTAACTGTAAATCGCTCTGGATAAGAGCGTCTGCTAAATGACTAAAATGTAAACATTTAAAATGTACCTTAGCAACGTGCATGCCCCGCCCACCTGAGGATCTGCCTTTTTCAGCTATCTATTTCTTGTGTTTGAGGGGTGCAAAATCCACTGTCACTTAAATCTCGCTTGCTTGATTGCTTTCATTTTAGTCCTGCGACTCTTTCATACTCTTGCTTGTGCCTGTTGCTTTTGTTGAAACTTTACAATAAATGTAAAACCTGAATTCCCAACAAAATCTCTGAACTCCATTTATTTATTGTTCATGCCACTAAAATGTTTTATGCGCTATAATTCAGTCAATATCCGATGGATTTTAAAAAGCTGATCGGGGGCTATGCTATTAGCATAGCGGTGTTTTACTGTCATCCTGAGGGTGTTTTACAGTCATGAGACGTCCTTGGACTGAAATATAACGTTTTTCTGAGCCTAGGTTAATTATTTGCTGGAAATGGTGCAGTTTATCCTCCCATACCAGAGTAACTCATCAACACCAAAAATAATATTACAATGTAACCCTACTCAGATGTAGGCCTACCTTAGAGGTAAGCCATGTTATTAAACTAGTAGCCTTCTGTGTTACAGTCCAGACATAGCCCTTCCCTGCAGTTAATGACTAAAAGTGCCCTCTTTGGCCTCATGGGTGGAATGTTATTAATATTTTTCATCATTTCATAATTAATAAAGATGTTTAAAAAAAAATACTGACGAAAATCCGGTGTTTCTATGTCAAACAGTTTTCATATATTTCAGTCTTCTGCGGTGTATATAAAGTGTAATATTGGGACGCAAACTCAAAATTGAATACATTTCAACTCTATATCTGACATGGTACAGGTGTCTTCTTTTTTATAAGCCCATAACCATGTGTGTGAGGTGTATACTTTTGTTTAAGACTACCAAGAATCCCTCTGTGTGACCCTGATTTAACCCACTGCAGTAAAAGGTTAAATGGGAAATGTTTGTCCGTGTTAGGCTATGCGTGATGTGGTGTGTGTGTGTGTGTGTGTGGTGTGTATGCAGGTGGCACAGGCACAGGGTTGGGCGTATTATTTGTCCCTCTAGGCCTACATAATTGTGATATATATATATATACAGTAACAGTTACTAATGGTAAATAGTAACCCATCTTTTTGTTCATGATTATGTAATCCCAATTATATGTACTCTGTTAACACCCCTGGGGTGTGTGTGTGTGTGTGTAAACCATATGACCACTTTATTTTAAATGAACTTGCTGTTCAGACTAATTAGCATATACATTATCGAATTTGCATAAAACAATCACATTTGCATAAAACAGTATTCTAATATCAAAAATTGTTACAACCTCTCAGTTCTGCATGAATATTTGTTAATAATATGACCACCCTACTTTATATTATTGGGCTTAAAGTACTGAAATTATGTATTCCATACTGCCTAATCTGCATATGAAGTGCCTCATTTGCATAGAATAATTATACATCTCTGTGAACCGTGAAAATGTCATTTACATTTACATTTACATTTTAGTCATTTAGCAGACGCTCTTATCCAGAGCGACTTACAGTCATAACAATATGACCATCCTATCTTGAGATATCTTGAGTTATTGGACAAAAGGTGTCGAATTTAAGAATCCAGACAGGTGATTTGGTGCGTTATTGACAACGGATTACAGTACATTGACATGTTGCGACCTTTTTCGATCACTTGAAAATAAGATATCTCAGCAATGGTATGTCTTATCCTCATGAAATAAAGCGTTCTGTGTTCCTGAGAAGCCTCCCTATAATTTGGAATGCAACGTATAACAGAGAACCACAGTTTCATTTTGACCCCTAACACCCTACTTATTTAGTTAGGAGTCGTAGCTAGCTATCTATATAGTAACTAGCTAGCGAGTGGAGCAGATAATGCAACCTTGCTAGCTAACGTTAGCTAAACAGAGTCAGTGCAGCTGTTCTCTCACAGATGATTAATGGGATTGCCAAATTAGCTACCTAGCTAGCTAGTTAGTTTAGCAACCGCACAACCACTCGAAGGACAGTTGATAACCAGAAAGCGGCGCTTGGCAGTAAATCTTACCCCCCTTGCAGGGCGTCCTGTGCTGGCTGTGCTGGGCGCGGTATCCCTCCACTACCTCCCACTCTCCGTTGTCCCTCTTGATGGGGAAAGAGACGCTGAGGACGTGGTTGCAGGGCTTGATGATGCGGAGAATCCCCTTCACTCGTTTCATCTTCTGCTCGGGGGTCTCCTTGCTCTTTAGGTCCTCCACAAGCTTGTCCTGAACGATGGCGGCTCCGCGGTCGAAGAAACCCTCCACCATGCGAAAGAAGTTGGGGTCATCGGGCTGTTCACTATACTGTCGGACCCGCATCAGAGCGGCCGATGCTGGGAGAGCAGAGTCCACGCAGCCCGAGGCCAGGGCACTGCCCGCCCCGCGGGATAACAGCTCCCCGAAGTACCGGTACATGATTGGTCTAGTTGACTAACTGTTTAACAGGGGGGGAAACAACAGCGACGGGGGGTAGCTAGCTAGCTATCTATCTATCTATCTATATTAACCCGTGAGAGGGATGAATGAACCGCACAGCAGCACTCCTTCACTGTGTCCGGTCTTCCGACTGAATGACAGTTGGAAGGGCGCGCCCGTTCGCTTTAAGGCTGCGCTGACCACCTAGGCTAGGACTCCCCTTGGACCGGGATGCACGCGGAAAAGGAGGGCACAGATCTATGAAGGAGGTTCATTTCGGGGCGCGCGTCCGAAAGAGCCAGTAAACAAAGCGCGATCCCGTGTGTGTCGCCATTTGAATACAGTAGTAGGCGGTCTATGTCAAATGTTTATTGCGCAAGTGCGATAGATAGCCTACATATTCACAGATAGATCCATTTTCTGAATCTTCTAATGAGACAATTGTGGAGTTATTCTGATGGGATCCTGAGCATTTCATTTTGTGGTATTCTAGGCCCCTATGCCTGCACAGCAAATTATCCAGTGTAAAAAATATAAATAATAAACACTGCAAATAACTATTCAAGGACCTAAAAGTAGTATTCTTTGGGTCAGTATGGTTCCACGTGGAACCATTACCATTACAAAATAACCCTTGAGGAACCCTACGTTTTTAATGTGTAGGCTTCTCATTAATTTAAAACTGTTCCGGTGTCTATATGGGTTCAGACAGACAACACTTTCAGTGTTGATTTAACACTCTGGAGAGTTTGCTGTGTACTATAATAGTTTGACTGAAAGTAATGGAAATCAAATCTCTTAATGTTTTTTTATGAGGCAGTTATTTTAATGAGAAAGAAAGACAAAAGAATGTAGGCCTACACACAAAAGAATGTGGGTTCCTCAATGGTTCTTTGGTAAGGGTTATGGTTCTATGTGGAACCAGACTGACCCAAATAACCCTTTGATCCCTTCAATGGTTCTTTGCAGTTCAAAAAAGTGTTCTTTCCTCTTTTAGTGATAATTGAAATGTAGGGGTGGTGGCTCATTTGAATATTTTGGGGCATGGTTTGTGCAAAGCTCTTTTTGTGCAACCGTGAGTGAGAGTGTAATTCCAGTTTATCTAATCTCTTGTGTCATGCCATGGACAGCAATGGTGTCTTGTGAAAGTCTCACATGGCCTTGTGTCAATTGCGAATGGTTGACTAAGTCAGTAGTTCTCAAGTTTATCCTCAGGGACCCAGCTGTTCTAGAGCTAGCACAACTGATTTAATTTGTCAATAATAAAAGCTATAGAATTTGTTTTATATAATATGGCTATTAAACCAGAATTGAAAATCCTGTATGGTTCTACAAAGAACCTCTAAGATTGAGAGAGGTTATTTATAGAACCATTCTTCATAAAGGTTCTATAAAGTGTTCCATATAGCACCAAAAAGGGTTCCGCTGTGGTTACAAGCCAAACCACCCTTATTTGGCACTATATAGAACCATTTGTTTTTTGTGTGTATGAGTGTGAAACACGCAGAAGGTTGAAATGGTAATTCCATCAAAGTTACCCCTATATAATGAAAGACAAGATCCTATCGTCGATGCACCTGCCTGTTACAGATGCTCTCTCTTTCGCTGTCAAATCACATAGTGAGAACATCTGTTATACCAGATCAGATGTATAACTGATAGTAGCCCACCACTCTTAAGAATGGAATAACAGACAATGTGCATCGAAGGGATGACCCTGTCTTTCATTGAAAAGACTAATTGCACATCATTCAGTATTTAAGCTGACGTGTGCATGTGTCTTCCTCTCTGTCGCCAAGGCTCTGATGTATAAGTAGAAGAATGAGATGAAGTGTCTGCTCAGAGAGAAAGATCTGGCTGAGGTAAAGAATGAGCCGAGCATCTTTACTAGATGCTGCTCTTCTACTAATCTCACTGCAACTCCCCTCCATGTCTCCGACCACTACTTTGTTTCCTTTTCTCTCTCGCTCTCCTCGAACACTACTCACTCTGCCCCTACACAGATGGTAATGCGCCGCCGCAACCTTCGCTCTCTCTCTCCCACTACTCTCTCCTCTTCCATCCTATCATCTCTTCCCTCTGCTCAATCCTTCTCCCTCCAATCTCCTGATTCTGCCTCCTCAACCCTCCTCTCCTCCCTTTCTGCATCCTTTGACTCTCTGTGTCCCCTATCCTCCCAGGCCGGCTCGGTCCTCCCCTCCTGCTCCGTGGCTTGATGACTCATTGCGAGCTCACAGAACAGAGCTCCGGGCAGCGGAGCGGAAATGGAAGAAAACTAAACTCCCTGCCGACCTGGCATCTTTTCACTCCCTCCTCTCTACATTTTCTTCATCTGTTTCTGCTGCTAAGGCCACTTTCTACCACTCTAAATTCCAAGCATCTGCCTCTAACCCTAGGAAGCTATTTGCCACATTCTCCTCCCTGCTGAATCCCCCCCCCCTCCTCTCTCTCTGTGGATGACTTCGTCAACCACTTTGAAAAGAAGGTTGACGACATCCGATCCTTGTTTGTTAAGTCTAATGACACTGCTGGTCCTACTCACACTGCCCTACCCTATGCTTTGACTTCTTTCTCCCCTCTCTCTCCAGATAAAATCCTGCGACTTGTGACTGCAGGCCGCCCAACAACCTGCCCGCTTGACCCCATCCCCTCCTCTCTTCTCCAGACCATCTCCGGTGACCTTCTCCCCTACCTCACCTCGCTGATCAACTCATCCTTGACCGCTGGCTATGTCCCTTCCGTCTTCAAGAGAGCGAGAGTTGCACCCCTTCTCAAAAAACCAACACTCGATCCCACTGATGTCAACAACTACAGACCAGTATCCCTTCTTTCTTTTCTTTCCAAAACTATTGAGCGTGCCGTCTTTAGCCAACTCTCTTGCTATCTCTCTCAGAATGACCTTCTTGATCCAAACCAGTCAGGTTTCAGGACTGGTCATTCAACTGAGACTGCTCTTCTCTGTGTCACGGAGGCTCTCCGCACTGCTAAAGCTAACTCTCTCTCCTCTGCTCTTGTCCTTCTAGACCTGTCTGCTGCCTTTGATACTGTGAACCATCAGATCCTCCTCTCCACCCTCTCCGAGCTGGGCATCTCCGGCGCGGCTCACTCCTGGATTGCGTCCTACCTGACCGGTCGCTCCTACCAAGTGGCGTGGCGAGAAGCTGTCTCCGCACCACGTGCTCTCACCACTGGTGTCCCCCAGGGCTCAGTTCTAGGCCCTCTCCTATTCTCCCTATACACCAAGTCACTTGGCTCTGTCATATCCTCACATGGCCTCTCCTATCATTGCTACGCTGACGATACACAACTAATCTTCTCCTTTCCCCCTTCTGATAACCAGGTGGCGAATCGCATCTCTGCATGTCTGGCAGACATATCAGTATGGATGACGGATCACCACCTCAAGCTGAACCCTGGCAAGACGGAGCTGCTCTTCCTCCCGGGGAAGGACTGCCCGTTCCATGATCTCGCCATCACGGTTGACAACTCCGTTGTGTCCTCCTCCCAGAGTGCGAAGAGCCTTGGCGTGACCCTGGACAACACCCTGTCGTTCTCCGCTAACATCAAGGCGGTGACCCGATCCTGCAGGTTCATGCTCTACAACATTCGGAGAGTACGACCCTGCCTTACACAGGAAGCGGCACAGGTCCTAATCCAGGCACTTGTCATCTCCCGTCTGGATTACTGCAACTCGCTGTTGGCTGGGCTCCCTGCCTGTGCCATTAAACCCCTACAACTCATCCGGAATGCCGCAGCCCGTCTGGTGTTCAACCTTCCCACGTTCTCTCACGTCACCCCGCTCCTCCGCACACTCCACTGGCTTCCAGTTGAAGCTCGCATCTGTTACAAGACCATGGTGCTTGCCTATGGAGCTGTGAGGGGATCGGCACCTCTGTACCTTCAGGCTCTGATCAGTCCCTACACCCAAACGAGGGCATTGCGTTCATCTACCTCTGGCCTGCTGGCTCCCCTTCCTCTGCGGAAGCATAGTTCCCGCTCAGCCCAGTCAAAACTGTTTGCTGCTCTGGCACCCCAATGGTGGAACAAGCTCCCTCACGACGCCAGGACAGCGGAGTCACTCACCACCTTCCGGAGACATTTGAAACCCCACCTCTTTAAGGAATACCTGGGATAGGATAAAGTAATCCTTCTACCCCCCCCCCCCCCCCCCCCCCCCCAAAAAAAAGAAAGAAAAAAAAAACATATTGTAAAGTGGTTATCCCACTGGCTATAGGGTGAATGCACCAATTTGTAAGTCGCTCTGGATAAGAGCGTCTGCTAAATGACGTAAATGTAAAGTAAATGTAGATATAGATCTAAACTTTGTCTCTCTCTCTCCTCTTTCCCTTCCGAAGGGTTGCCTCTCCTGCTTCGATCAGCACTTCACAGATCACCTCAGATAGAGGGAGGGAGAGGGAGGGAGGGAGGGAGAGACAAAGAGAGCGAGAGAGAGAGAGAGATGAAAGAGTGTGTATGTTATTTTATTGTAGTTATTGTTGAATGATTATATTATTTATGGCTGTCCTCAATCGCTGTGTTTGTCAGTAGGACTAATTTACTGCCTGATCTGAGGTCTGAGCCAATCATAAACCAAAGATAAGACAGCGTCCAATCAGGATATGGCCCTCTGACCGACCTGTTTTCCTTTTGCTGGGGTCCAGGGTGCACTCTCTTCTGTACCACCCCGAACAGAAGAGATCTACAGGAGTGACAAGGGAGAATGAAGGGTAGTGGTCGATGTGGGATTCAGCAACGGATACCTAGCTCTCCCCTCCTCTCGCCCCTGGCAGAGGTCCATTTTGAGACGTGCCTCCTCTCTTGTCCAGTAACGACCTGCTGCCCTGGTTTAACAAGACACAGACCTACGTACACACAAACACGCACGCAGGCACGCACACACACACAAACCGGCAGCAGGTTCTATCTGGCGCTCTCTCCCTTGCAGCTCAACTCTCACTGCTCTCTCGATAACAGATCTGCAGATATTCACGCCCACACCACTGACCACACCTGCTCTCTCTTTAGGACAGAGCCTTGTGTCTATTCTACACAGTACCTGTCTACCTGGACATTCTGTGACATTCCTGAATAAGCCCTGAAACTTGTCCTGATGATGAGTCCAGCCCTGCCCATGTTGTTTGAGTATGTAGTGTAGGGAAGCTAATAAGCTACCAATGACTGATGAAATAGCTAAGCTACAGCAAAGCTATCCTTGAGTGGAAAGTCAATAACTATACTACAGAGTAGGCCCTTTCCTGCAGTCAAATGACCAAACCGCCCTCTAGTGGCCCCATGGATGGAATGTTATTCATATTTTTCATAATTAATAAACTGTTCTTTTTTTTGTGTGCCAAAAATCCGG